TGTCTGTCTGTTCTCTTGTATCAAAAAAAAAATATTTGTGGAAAAGTCTTTTTATTTATCAAACCTCCGTTTCTTAAGCTAAATTCTAATTATTATATCGTATTATTTTTTATCGTTTGTTTTTTAAGGTAAAAAAAGCTTTTAGAGAAATTTATATTATAATTCGCAATTCTATGACATATCCATGATGTTTAAACATAAATAACTCACGTATCTACATCGTGGCTACATGAAAAACTCGCAATCTGCGTCAGTAACGGTACTTTACTCCACAGCGTAGTACGAAACTCGGGGGTAAGCGTAGTGCACTCCAATCTAGTACCCCCACCCTCCAGGCGTAGACAACCTTTTTGAAATACCTACACACTACGCCCTGGATTCAATTTACCGGTAACGGTCGGTGCTTACAGTTTTTGTATAATTGTGTGTTTTTTCTTCTCTCGTCCTAGGAAATTTCCTAATTGAAAAATTTCAACCTACACCTAGGATATGAAACTGCTTTTTAATTTCGAAATTATGAAATTTTATATTATTTATTAGCCTTCTGGAAGATACAAAACTGTAAAGATTAATTATTTTTTTATTAAAATATCTAAACTAGGAGCATAAACTATGAAGCTAAGAAAGTAAATATACATAGAGACAATATTGTCTCGATAAATCAAAACAAATACAAGAAAGTGAGATCTCAAAATTTTCGAGAATATCTCGTGGAAAAATTCACTGCTTATAACGTACGTGCGATTACAACAGTTATCGACTGATAAGTGATAACAAATAACACTATCAAATACTATTTATATTACAAATGTTGTGACGTCACACAACACACCAAGTTTTCAAACATTTCGATTTTATCTCACCATCCCATTTCATAATAATCATTATCTCTTTGTGTTTGACATATTTTTACGTTATCATTTATTTATACGTTTATAACATTTAAATTAAAACAAGAGACATTGTATTTAAAATAATATTACAGAATAAAAATCAATCAAGTCATCTATCGGTTCCCCCAATAGAAAATAATAATAAGGTAAGGTCACTAACATAACGCAAATGGAAGCAGTAAGGTGAAACGTAAGTTTGGCCACAAATATAGAAGAACCTACTGGTGACCGCCAAATAGCGCGCAGATAAGATGAAACTCTGACGCAGAACTCCGAAATAGATAACATTTGCGTCAAGCGTACATTTTTTAGCTCTCCAGTGTAAACTGGGCGCGTGCGCTACGCAGAAATATCCTCGACATATTTTTGTTAAGGATTTAAAATGCCTTAAGCTACCCAATAGTCGCTACAAGTAAGTATAAAATATTGTATAGGCATTGTCTTTTTATATACTGTCTGTGTTTTACGCGAGTGGTACAAAAAAACAATGTATAAATAAAACACTTTAACGGTTTAAAACGCGATTGAAAATATTTTTTAACAACGGCCCGACGTTTCGGATGCTCTGCATAAGCCCTGGATTTTTTTTCAAATAAGTTTAACCAATATATATCGCGTTTTAAACCGTTAAAGTGTTTTACTTAAAAAATGTCTTTATTTCAACAATGTAAATGTACTTATGTAGTGGTTCGTCTTTTAGCAATTTCTATATGTATATTCATACTTAAATACAACAAAAATTTTAATAAATGTTTAATATACAAACTGTCGCTTCACTTAAAACAAATTAACTACATAAACAACAATTCTATTTGTTTTTGTTGTTCGTTTTATCTCTACTGGTATTCTTGGCTTTTAAGAAAATAAGATTTGGAAACTCGTAAATACCATGGATAGGTTGCAGGGCATAACTAGTATATGTACGTATGAGAGCCTGAAAATATGTCACGTCCTCCAACATCTTAGCATGCCACGAAGACATCACTTTCCCAATGCCTTTAATATGAGTAAACCAGCGCGTGAGATCAATCAAATTACTTGAATCGTGTTAGACTAGCATTTATTACATGACAGAGAAATGGTTATAAAAACTCGAGAATGAAATTGCATTCATAAACAGCTTTTCTAACACTCACATTGTTCTATTTATCAGAGTATAAAACAGATTGTGTTTTATATTCGACTATGTATTAGGTAAGTTTGTATGGCACATCGTACAGATTAACCAACACCCAAAAACACTGTTTTGTTTGTCATTCCTCGTTGTAACAAAATTTTATTTAAGATAAACAATGGTCTGGTATTTTGGCATTTCAAAGGCATTGCTGTATTAATAATCTCTAACATATCGGAGAGGTCAACTAACAATTGCCAGACGAGGCATTGGGTAAAAAAACGTCCGATGTTGTATGTATAAGTCGCAAATAGATTTTAAAGTAATTTAACGCAATTTTTTTAAATAATTTGGTAATGGACCCACGATGTCACCAAGCAAGTTACGTTTAAATGCGGTAATTAGTCTTTTCATAACAAAATACAAACTATACTAATAGAGCCATTCATTTTTGCGTAGTTTCTGATATAAATTGCCAAGAGATATTTATTCAATGATTCCTATTTTAACATCAAAAATAGCCCATTCCACGGCTCGCTTTATTTATCTTAGAAAAAATTACAGTGAGAAATTCTTCTGGTCTAACAAAATTACCAAATATTAAATTCCATATTACCAAACAAGCGGACACAAGCGAGCTGATGTACCGATCTGACCATCACCTTGGAACAGTTAACACGGGAAAAACGCAAATAATAAAAACAAAGCGAGCCATGCATCCGAACGCAAGGTCGCCGAAGCCGTGGTATTTCTGGACGCGGCAGCGATCGACCTCACCCGACTGCGGCTGGACTACGGTGGATTGCTGATTGATGATTATGTTCCTCGAAATATTTCGCAGGTGCTATCATTAAGACGGCTTAAATATTTCGCCCATATTCGAGTACAGGAATAGTCATTTGTTCGTTCAAATACAACTATGCCAATTTATTATTTTTAGGGTTCGTTCAAATATTACCTACAACTTAGATTGATAACAGCGAAACTCCGTTACAATGTGGAGTTAAGAAATAGTTGAGGCACGAATTGTCAGAGATTCCTACAGAGGTTCTTATTTTGCATCTATTATCGAAAGACGTAAATTACATAGCTAAACAAACGTAACGTTGTCGTTTGAACATCAACACTACGAGACTTCTCACAATAATATCCTGTTTTGTTATTATTGTAGCTACAAATACGCTATAATCTTTTTTAATCGAAAACGACTTTTTGTTACTGAAGCGCAAGGCATTTGGATATCTCCACCTTTCTAAACGCAAATACAAACTCTAATTAAACATAAATCAAACTTTGAAATGAAAGTGTAGTCGTCCATTTAAAACGCAACGCTGTGACTCATTCACAACGCCGGCATTCGGGCAACGACCTACTTCTGCTTCAGATAGGTGTACTAGCGTGCTTTTGTCTACTACCTGATATATGTATACATTTGACGTAATTAGCTTATTAACCTTATACGACCGCTGCTTCAAACCGTCCATAGACGTACTTTTTTTCTTAATTTGTTGCCTAGGAAGGTAGGTTTTCTATTTAGCTATAATGCCCTGTGTACAAGGTTTTCTTTTCAATAACATTTCAATTATGCCATTTCCAGTAAAATGTTATTTTTGGATTAAAATGATGTAATTTTCATCTATTTAAATATCTACTCGTAATTTTAAAGCTTAAGTTTCCATTATGTAGATTGAATGGTGATTGTGTAGTAAAGTGTCAAATCAATAAAGTGTTTTGAACTTTGGTGACACTTCGTCCTACTTAACAATTGTTAATTAAAACATCGTAACACGTACTAACAAATTCTACGGTCCACATTAAAAACAAATTAACTACTAATTTAAATGCAGCGCGTATTTCCTCTCCATACTTGGCATTTGCACCTGCAGGCAACTGAACGTAAAACATGGACAGGAAAATAACTTAATTTAAATAAGGTTTCGTACGCTTTTGAGTTATAAACTAAAAACTAATTTTATTTTATATATGTAATTCAGTTCAGTTTTGCTAGACAATATTTATGTGGTTGTTAGGAATTATTAAAAAACTAAGAAGACTAAATTTAAAAAAGGGACAGATTACATTAGATTCTGTGGTTGTATCTGTGATTGAAATTATTTATTTTAATTTATTTAATTTATTACTTATAAACACCCCAGGACTTATTCTATGAATACAATTATGTCTCTTTTAGTCGTATTTTGTCTTAAATGACGTAAGTGAAAAGTTATTCAAACCGCCAGACCGCCTTTTCCTGGCTATAAGGGACATGTACAATGTACTACGAACCTACGAAGCGTAGGTACTTCGTAACTACAGTTACAAACAATAATTAGTAATTGAATTTGTATCGTATTGTAAATCCTAAAGAAATTATGTAATTACGCAAATACTAATTTGATAATACTCTGATACATACAGACAAAACGCAAGGATTTTTTTTATTATAGGGCAAAATTTCAGGTCTACGAGAATTTATTTTCCTACTTCCTCACAGCAATATGTACGATATTCAATAAAATGGATTTATGAAGATAAAAGGGATGCCGCTGTCTAGACGCAACTGATTATCCTTTTGTGTGTAAAAGCGACACGAAAAATGCACGTTGAGCGCAGACTGTAAAACGCAAGTTGCGTAATAACAAATACATTTTGTAGATCCAAATGCGCGCCATGGTGTTGCCTGCATAGCAAGATTAATTTCGACCCTTTAACTCCTTTAGAGGAATGAAAATAAAATTATAACTATTAAAACGTCTTTGATTGGTCAGACAAAATATTCACATAACGTTGTTAACCCATAGGGTATTTCGTGTGGTATACGAACTATTGACAACCCATAATAAATAACTGTTATGAAGCTTAGACAATTTATGATCTACTAAATAAAACCTTCGCCTCTGTAAAAACTGTACGAGCGATTTATACTGTGCGTTAATACATCCGTCTGTTATTCAAAGTACAAAGTACTCTATATACGATCGTAGGTACCTTACCTCAGTCTTCGTTATTCGATGTCGGGCTAATTTAACGACGGCAAAGTTTCCCTTCCCGATGGTTCTTTCTATGTCATAAAAGCCCACCCTAATGGGGGTTTTGGCAGGCCGTTCCCGATCCGCCATTTCTGATTTTTCAATTAAACTTGCGAACACCACTGTACTATAATTTGTTTTTGGGAAATTTTATTACTCATTGAAATATATAACTCCCTACTCGAACACTTCACAATTTCTAAATAGCACTAAAGCGTTTTTACACTTCGACGTTTAGTATATTTACGTTACGTTTTCTAAATATTTAACAATTCACTTAGCTACTCGTATTAGTTTATGAAATTTTATAATTTCGCGCTGTACGACTACAGTTCTTTTTTTCTTAAGAGTCTTTACCGAACTTTTTATAGTATATAAATAATATTGCACGACTGTTGTAAATGTAGAAAAAATATTTACAAATTTACATAAATATCGCGCAGAGGCGGCGCGCGTATCTTAAATCGCTAGGAAGACATAACGCCGCCGCCTCACCGGCTGTCAACCGGGTACTGACGTGACGACTGAGTTACTGAACGTGAACCGTGAACGTAACTCGTGAATACTGAACGTGAGTGGAAAAACGAGCACTCAAATACTCAACCACTGAAACGTAAAGTCGCTAAAGGTTTGGAATTCAAGCATTAACGGATTGATTTTTAAACTCTTCTATGTCTGTCCTTTGCTTTTAGAACAAAGATAACGATTTTGTATCGACGTCTGAACGGTCAACGGGCAATGACCGTTCGGTTTGCCTTTTTGACGTCACACACATAATAAAGCCGTTATGCACGTATTTCAGCCCCTTAATAATGAATGATAATAAGTCGCAAGAGTCATTGTGCTAAAAATTATAATTACGGTATAATTTGTCTGTATTAATACGACTTCAGTAACACTTATATAAACAACGAGAAATATTAGTTGAAGTAAAGTAATAATAATAATGATAGTATTTTTATTATTTATTTTTATTCATTCATAACTATTAAATTACAGTAAGTACAAGTTGAGAAATTTCCCACTTTTATCTTATGCAAATGTTATGTTTACTATTTACTATAATTTAAAATGTGCTTTAAGAAAACTAATTATTATCACAAAATTCATGGAAACACGTCTTTCATTTATTGTACATATATAATATAATATGGAACTTTTGCTAGCGACATCTAGTATACGGTGTGAAAACAACAATTTTTCGTTTTTAAGATAGTCTGTTACTGTCGAGAAAGACATAAATTAAATTGCAACAGTACAAATTACATATTCCTTCCTTAAAAAATTATTAATCTAATAATTTAAGTCCTTGTAAGCATAATCTATATAATACAGTTGTCATAAAATTGTATTGCATATTTTTTAGTCTGTGGTATGTAAACTGAGGTTTCTTATTTTTGGATAGAGCAATACTAATTTTCTTTTACGTTACGTTCATTATTTTATTTAGGTTTTAATCTATACCATAGACTATAGAGTCTCGTAGATTATGGTCTTCTATATAATCTATGCGATCTTTTTTGCAATGTGATTGTGGAAGAATTGTACTTCGACTTTATTGTAATTCTATTGAATTAGCAGGAAATATTTTCATATGTCCAAATTTTTACCAGCAATTTTGTCATTTATAGCGCATAAAAACGTAGTAACATGTTTGTCATCACTATGCATTAAGTAAAGTGACCAAATGCTGAACATCAAGATGTCGGTGATACTCTTCTACGATTTTGACAAGAAAATATTTGTTTAAAAGCTTCCGTGTGTTATAAGCTATCAGCTTATTCTTTTGAATGTGTAAATAATATAGATAGACCAACTGCAAGATGAGTCACCTTGCCGAGGACAATGTACAAAATCTAAGAGGGAATTCGAATTGTGCGAACGTGAAAAACAAAACTATTATATCCAAAGATTCTTTAGAAGCTGTTGAGAAAGGCTTAAGAGAAGAAGAAGAGAAGTTGACTGAGTTGTTAACGCATTCACTGCATATAAACCATCACAATATTTCAAATGGAGTTAGTGAACATTCAAATAGTGGTATTATTGAATCTAGGTGTGAACCGTTAGCCCAAGAGGCAGCTCCTTGTGAAGTTGGTTTTGTAAATAGTGTACATTGTAGTGACTTAACCCAAAACACAGATAATACTAAAAATGGTTCACCTGACTAAACCTATTGGCAATACTGACAAAGATACCATTCATATTGAAGATGTGGAAGATGATGGTGAGATTGCAATAATATCATACGAATCAGAGTTACAAATGCCTGAAATAATGAGACTAATACAAAAGGATTTATCTGAGCCATATTCTATCTACACATATAGATACTTTATACATAATTGGCCTAAGCTCTGCTTCTTAGCGATTCATGAAGGAAAATGCATTGGTGCCATTGTATGTAAGTTAGACATGCATCGCAATGTTGTAAAGAGAGGCTACATTGCTATGTTGGCAGTTGATAAGAAGTATAGGAAAAAGGGTATTGGGTCTAAGTTAGTGCAAAAAGCAATACAGGTAATTTTATTAGTAATATTTTAATATAAAATATCTATGTAAGATGCCTTATTACCATTGAAATAGTATTTAGTTGATTTTATGAGTGAATCAGAACTATGCATGATTTGTTATATTCTTAACAATATAGTTGCATTATCCTATAGTATTAAATTATAATAAAAAACACAGAATAGAGATTTTAAATTAACCTTTTGACTTTATTTCAGGTGATGATCAATGACAATGCTGATGAAGTTGTCTTGGAAACAGAAATCACTAACAAACCAGCACTGAAACTATATGAAAACTTGGGCTTTGTTAGAGACAAACGCTTATTTCGGTATTATCTCAATGGGGTAGATGCATTGCGGTTGAAACTTTGGCTAAGGTGAAAATTGTAGTTGTCCTTTGGGATCTTATAATTGCTGCGTTGTATGAATACAGTTTCAGATCTATACACACTATATAAATACTGTGCTGTTTATTGTACAGATACCATACAATGCATCTGCCATCTGGACTTAAGCCAAAAAAACACTAAATTATTTTCTCTTAGTCATGTGGTTTGTTTTCCTGTAATTATTGTTAAATTTGTTAATATAACATAGCTGCAATTTATTGTTTTATATGTCCACTATATATAATTTATGACTGATAAAACCCTATATGAACGCAATTCACCTCTTTCAGGAAACTGTATATTTATTTAAATTATTAAATCCTCCACGAGTTCAGAAATAAAACTTTATTGAAAATTTCTTTCTTTATTGCTGTAACATAAGTTAGAATGTGAATGTAGCAGAATTAGTTGAGGCTCCATCATAAATAAAAGTATTGTTAACAGGGTTATATTGCTTAGTGATTAATTTAATAGCTTCGTGAGCTACACATCCACCAACAAAGGCAGACACACTGTGAATCTCTGCTCCTCCATACCGACACATTTCATGAATGTGGTCATCTTTAGGAAATGGTGAACATGACACATCACTCAGAATTTTAGAGACACAGTTTTTCAATTTAGCTATGTCACTCTCTGGCTCCCATTCTCCAGGGGCACGGCAATGTTCCGATTTGAACATATCTGCTGCTCGCAGAAGTATATAATGTACCATCATCACATCTGGTTCTTCTAAATGCCTTGCTATATAAGAAGCTACAGGGCTTCCTGTTTGGTATTCTAATGCAATATTAGATCCTATTATCAAGTGCAAATCATGTGCATGTCTGCAAAATAGCTTTACTTCAGTTTCACTGATGCTATCACATTGTAATTGTGAGACAATTTGTTGCACTTTCCTGTAGACTATCTCGGCATCAACTGATGCTTGATTGCGATAGATGTTTTGAAGCTTTACATAGTGCTCTGTTGAGGCTGTCATGTCAGGCAAAACGCCCCTCAATGGCAAATTCCCCTTCCCTTCAGCCTCAACAAAAGCCCGCAGTGCTGAACACATTATCCAGAATGGATTGCTTTCTTTTGTTAAATTTATTGCTGCACTGCTGTAAATGAGATCTTGAACTTTTACTGGTAAAAAAGTAGGCAGTAAAGCAGTATTTACTGCTCTAATAGCTTCTTCAAAGTTTTCTTCATTTATGGGCACTCCATTTTCATCACTCCTTATAAATTGCTGTATTATATCTTTGATTTCATTCTTTTCTTTTCTACTCATTGGCCATCTATTAAGATTTGTTGTTTGCCACTTCTGTACTGCTTTATACAAAATAACAATCCATGGAATGTGACCATGGTCTTTTAGTTCTAGTGTGCTGATAACTATACTGTCAAAATAGTCTGATAAACCAGTAAATGGAACATCTAAACGGAGGTCCACTTTTTCATTCTCTGGGTGAGTTTCAATAATAGAATGTTCTCTAAATTGAATTCTGAAAGAACCCAAAAACCCAACAGATCTACAGAGTATAAAAGGTTTATTTAAATCCCATAAATATTGTGATAAATCTTTAATTAACTTCTCATTCAAAGAAGTTCCAATTACAACACTGAATGATTTAAAGAAGTCAGGGTTCTCCTGTAAGATTTGATCAGGTGGTTCCTGTACTGAGTGACCCTGTACTGCATCATTAAGCTCTAGTAATAACCTTAAGGTTTCAGAGCCCCTATTGAGACCTTTACTTGTAGTTTCTAGAAAGAAGTTACTTCCTATATCTTCATCGCTGACATTGTTTTCATCAACAATGGTTATGGCACCAATTCCAGGAAGGACTATGGATTTGAGAACTTCAGTGCCTAGAGCAGTTGCGTTGATTAAGCAAATATGACCATTTTCCAATGCCGTTTGCCCATGATCGCCCCATAGTCGGAGTTGCCGGTCGTACTGTTTAGATTTTTCATTCTGCTCCGGTGACTTCGGCGAAAGCGATGCCATTGATACAAATGACGTTCGACGTGTATAATTATACCAACTGAATAGGGAATAACTTTGTACAATTAGTTCAAAATCAATGAAATCCGAATATATAGGCACTTCTGTACGAACAAATTGTTGGCGCCTTTTTGGACTATATTAATTAAACATATTTTAATGTCCCACAATTCCACGGTGTGATAGTCTTTGATGCTGGTTTTTAAAATAATTTTGAACTAAATTTTTTTTCAACTATTAATTATGATTATTCTTATTAAAGTTAAGGAGTCTATAGATTGAGTATAAAATACATTCAATTCTATGGGCATAACATACCTTTTATCTTGCCGATTGGTTTATCTGTGTTCTTCAAATTTACTGACAATTTACTATTTTATAACAATTGAGATATATTGTTGCAAATCAAAGGGTATTTGCATTTTGAAAAATTTCCCTTTCTATGTAATGATTATTAGAAATTACATTTCTAATAATTATTACGCTCTGTACGTAAAAAAATTGTCTAAAATTGCTAGAATTAAAAAGGATATCGCATAAATCTACGTAGCTCAAGGTTTACCAAACTGCAATGTTATTGACATTTTTTTTAAGAATATTAAGTGAATGTGTAGGGAAATGAATTTACAAACCTTATTCCAGGATTTCAATCCAAGGTAGGTAGCGCAGATTGATGTGGGGGTAATTTTTAACGTAAAATGTTAATGTAAACAATTTGTTGCAGCAAATTCGTCGTGCATACCTGCTTGTTGATATTTACGGCGCTATTGGCTTTAAAATTGGACAACACTATTTCTTGGTCTTACTGGGCTGTATTTTCACCCATATGGATATGGAAATTTCTGGTCGTTTTGGGTGCTACAGTGGGAACCTATGTTTGGTGGCAGTATCCTCACTTCAGGTTTGTTTATTAAATACTTTATTTGCATTTAAGATATAGTGCTGAGTTATATTGATATTACAAGTTCCTTTGCTCGAAACTAGAGAAGAAGTTATTCTTGTTGTTTTGATTTCTTGTGTTTGATTAAAATTACTATGAATTATCTATTCTCTCATCATGTTTATGTCTGTAGAGTTTATATTTCAATAATCCATAAATGCGTTAGAGTTACAAATTGTTTTATCTTGTCTAAGGTATTATCATCGATAAGATTTCACATTCTACATTTGAAAAAAATATGTTTTGTATATAACATTGATTATAAGACAAGATTTTTCACAGTTTAATAGGTAATTGTAAAGGATTACAAGAGTTATGTAAATTACAAATAGTCTGTCAGAAAGAAAACACTCACAATGTGTATTTATCATGTATTAAATACAAACTATTAATTACTAACTGGAATTCATTTAAAAAGTTGGCTACAAGTAATAAATTCATTTATATACTACCATTTATAATACATATAAATTTCCATTACAGATTAGAAGGTGAAGCTTACATTCATTACAAAGCTATGTTAATAAGCCTAGCAATACATTTGATATTGCTAATGTTCGAGCTACTTGTATGTGACCAGTTGACAACATATCGCCATGTTTGGATCCTTGTTTTCATACCATTAATTTTTATAAGCATAGTGTCCATTGCTATCTGTATATGGTGTGTGAAACATGACAGGAGTTATGAGGTTTGTTTTTTCTATTAACTTAAGCTATCTATGATTTATGATCAATGTAAAACTATAGTTTACGAGAGTACTTAGTGCACATTTCATTACACCAAACCTATATTGCGACTCAAATGTCTGGTTGTATCTCTATTTTTTAGTTGATCTAAACTAAATTTATAATAAGTAATATATTTCTTGTTTAATCTTCGTTGATACTACTAATTCATGTTAGGTACGCTCTTTAAAACACTGTGTTTTTTGGACAAATAAGTTGTAACAAGTATGTATATTTTGATAAGGTTCCTAACAAAAAACAACTGATGCAAATGCGATTTACACATATATAATAAAAAGGGTTGTACGCATCTTTGCTGGGAAACATTTTTTTTTATGTCTGTATGTATTTTGCATACAGTACATTTTTGTTGAATTCTATTGCAATACACTACCTCCTCTCATTTGACACGAGCCATTTCTCTAATCAAGACCTAGAATATGTTAGTGTGTGACATGTACCTTCCTAATAGAAATATAAAACTCTATTATCAAAATTTTACAAAAAATTTTACATAGTGTAGTTCTATGTCTAATATATATACTTGAGTTGCTCTTACATTGTTCATTATTAATTGAAATATTTATTTTTCAGTTGGAACTATTTTGTGCTGTTAATATCCTACAATTTATTTTCTTGGCGCTAAAGTTAGACGATTTTATAAACTGGTCTTGGGAAGTTGTGTTTGTACCATTATGGATTCTTATGTGTCTCAGTTTAGTAGGTAAGTAAAATTAATCAGTTCATTGTTTACTTTGCACTGACTTTAATTCGACTGCTGCTGCTGCTGCTGGGCACAATTATAAAGTATCTGTTATCTTACAGGTGTGTTATACAGTATAATGTTTGCTGGAATACTATTGCGTTCGCCAGAAGCCAACATACAACAACGCCGGACCAGTTTTAATTCAGCCATGGCCTATACGTTTACTGTTGTGCCTATTTTGGTCTTTTTGGTGAGCACCTGATATATTTACACACACAGAATGTGATACCAATATCACTAGCTCCCATGAGCTTCACCATTTCATTTTAATTTATCGAAAATACAATGTAACACGACAATACAAATTTAATTTCAACGGGAACTGAATAAAGCTTTACTACTGAGACTTAACATTCACTAAAACATATTTTTTCTACAATTCTTGCATGTATTACATGAGATTGAATATATGTGTTTTTTCAGGTATTACTTACAAACAAATTAGACGACAGCCTATCATTTACTTATATTGTAGTGGTCAGTCCCCTATTTGTCACCTACGCTACTCTTATAATTATGTCATTCAGCTCTAAAGGAGGGAATAAGTGTAAGTAGCTATAAATTGTAATATTATACTGTTCTTCGTTTTGATCCACTTGTTGTAAATTAGGTAGGATGAAAACTAAGTAATTAGTGGGATATTTGCATATATAACATAGCTAGTATAGATGGAGTTTTCTCTTTTAGCCATTTCGTGACAATGTACTCGTAGGTTATTAAAAAAAAACCGCAAAATTAAACAGTAACTAAACGTAGGACACTAGAGACGCTTGGTGGTTCGATTGGAAATGTCAGAGTTCCGCTAGTTACTCATCGATACTGCAGTGTAGTCATGTAGACTCGCTGTGATTTGACGTCCCGTACTAATGACCATCCCGATAAATAAAATAATTTACAAAATAAACTGCTGTCTATAGTTTACGCGAGTAATACAAATTTAAATAAAACACTTTAACGGTTTAAAACGCGATATATTAGTTAAACTTATTTGAACATGATTTTTAACTTCGGCCCGACGGTCCCGGTCCCCGGCCACGGGGAGACTCCCCTTGACCACGGCTGCTGGAAAGCATCCGAAACGTCGGGCCGAAGTTAAAAATCATGTTCAAATAAGTTTAACTAATATATCGCGTTTTAAACCGTTAAAGTGTTTTATTTAAGTACGTGTCGTTTTAATACCTATGCCAATTACATTAAATCTCTTTTAGGGTGGTTCGGCATACGAAAAGACTTCTGCCAATTCCTCCTCTCAGTGTTTCCGTTATTACAAGAGTACGCAAACATTGCTTATAACAATAATGTGAACCGTGGCTCTAATGTCGTGCCCAGCGAGCCACCGATCAACCAAGAACCCTACAGGGACGACGAGAAGAAAGTCAGCCACAAAAAGCAGAAGAACCAAAAGAAAAACGAAGCTCTGAAACCCGTGGTGCCAGTAACGAGCATAGATATGCCGGATTGATTCTTTCTACTTGTTCTCGGCTAAGACTACGTCCTAATAGCTACTGCACAATGATTATTTCCGTCTGTTTTATATACAATTGATATTTTTCTAACTCAACTGTTAAAAGACGCGTTTTACATGAGAAGAGATTGCTTGGTAAGAATAAGATTTTCGGGTTACTTTAATATTCCAATACCACAAAATTCGTCAAAAAGTCTTTATCAATTTTGTATTAAAATTTATTAATTTCTGAGCTCATCGAATCAAAATAAACAGAACCCGGAAATAAACCCGGGGCTTTTAATCGACCTTTACTCTTTCTATAGATAATTTAGCAGTTTCCTAAAGGATGGTGATATCTCTTTCACACTTTGAAATCCTTATTTGTGTGTTGTAATTTTCCCCAACTATAAATTTAATGAGTTTTGTCATTTGACCTTGGTTTTATATTAGAAACGCGAAAATGTCTGGTGTACAACACTTATTGTTGGGTTTTTTATATATTTTTGTAAACTAAACTTTGCATTCTTCGTTCAACAATCAGGCAACACCGAAACTCGTTGGCGATGGCGTAGTCTTAAATATAATTTACTTCAAAATTGTTTTAAAAGTGTGTTCAATAGTACATTGTAAATAGTAAGCAATATGATTGTTAAGTTTTTTAGCGCTGCGTTTCAAATAGATTAAGCACAGAATTAAGTGTTTGTATAAAGATTTGCCATAAACTGTAGACCATATCTTCCCTAGACAGGTCATAGACAATATAAACTTAGCGGTCTTATTATGATTAGAAAATCATGTTATTGTATACGTGTCTTTTGAGGGTACTCACTGAATGCTGTAAATACTTTGTCTCGCTCTTCCTAAATTAAACTGCTGAGGATTGAAAGAGACAAGAAATTTTATATATCTCTTATAATTTGTATAGTTTAGAAAAACTAACTACGTATTTTTTTTATATCCATAAACCTATACCAAAATCATTTATTCAAAAAAGTTTGATCTCAATTCAATATTCACGTTTTCAAAGTATTGGCCTAAAAGTATTGAATTTGTGATTTTTAAAAACACCGTTTTTAAAATCATACATGGATAAGTATATAGTTCTCATATAGAATGTTATTAACGTACGAAAAGAGGCATAAATTTTGACGAAGTTTTCATTTGCGGAAAAGCTTGCGAATTTATTGTTCTTCGTGACAAAACTCTATTAATCTTTTGAGGGTACTTTTATGCGACCAACAGTCATGTTGTTTTGACTCGTTGACATATCACTATTATACGGCGAAGCACGCACGTTTCTACATTTAGACTTCTCGTATATAAAAAGAAACGTAAATGCTGATTAAGCTTTTTTTTTAATTTAAAAGTAACGGTTTAAATCGTGAAATATTATGGATGCTTTACAGTAGCTGATTTCGAGATGATTAAATAATTTAATATATTTTACGTTTTAGACCGTTAATAATGTTTTATTTATGGTGTGGCACTCGCGTAAACTTGCTAAAACTAAAACAAAAATTGCTAAAACTTGTATTTAATAATTATGCGTGGTGTGCATCTTCATATCATTGGTGTATTTTAAAGGTGCTTAAATTATATATTTTTTTTATTTATAAAGCTTTCTTTACTAGATAGTTGCAAAGATCATAATTCATAACGAAAATACTTCACGAAACAAATCTATCGGTGTCTGTTCGTTAAAAATAAAAAGAAAAGCGATAATCACCTTTCGTAAAAAGTAATGCCAAGGCACGTGTAGCAAAACCTTATAGCGATCGATCGCTTTGTATCTAACTGAAGGTTTAGTTTGATTAATATTCACGTAATAATAAGTTAACTGGTAAAAAGTAGCGGGTGCAAATATAGAGCTAGATATTTTTTTAATTAGCTAAGATGTACAATATACGTAGAATATTTTATATGTTGCTTAACGATGAATTACGAAACTCTGTGATATACTCTTCCTATTCGCTTCTCAAGATAGACCTACTGTTATTTTGTTAAACTGTACTGTTTATTGTTTTATATTTTGTTTCATTAAAGTGTGCAGTTGTTAAACGTGCCTATGGGTTTTATTTTAATTACCTTAGTTTTTTAAAGCCATATCTATACTAATATATAAAGCTAAATTGTTTGTTTGTTTGAACGCGCTAATCCCAGGAAGTACTGTTAGTTAAAGCATTCATCAAGGAATTATATATGAAATATCGCGTTACTAAAAGGGGCGAAAACAACGAGGACAAATGATTTATTTTTGTGGGTTTCCGATGCGTACGCTGCGAAAACCGTATAAGATACCCAAATAATATGTTAATTTCTCTTTAAATGATCTAAAAAAAGTCCGCGACTCAGCTAATGAGTAATATCTAAACAAGATGCACTGCCGCCTTATAATATACGTAATAATGTATTACATAAAGGTCTTATTTACATATTCTATTGAAAAGAATATAGAAAATGGGTTAAGGGGAAAATTGCTGAACCTTAAATATTTTGTCTGTCATTGTGGCGCAATTCCATTGTGATTATTATATTTATTATTAAATTCTTCGATATTATATTTATTATTATCAATTTCTTTGGAAAATAATATCAATGATTATTTTAATGTTTTTAAGTTCACAACAAAACCGCTTTACTTAAATTAAATGAAAATCGCTTTCATCGAGTAAACGAATTCTTGAGACAAGAAAATATTGTCTTGATAATTATCGAGTATATATTTCCTGTCCCAAAAAAAATTTCTCAATAAAAGTATTTTTTTCTCTCAGTGTGAATAAAAAGCATAGATTAGAAAAACGGTTAAAAAATGATAAAATATAATAGTTAATAAAATTGGACAAACATTTATAGTCATTGATTTAATGATGATTTATCAACTGCGCGTTTTCGACCGGAAGCGCCGGTTGACCTGAAGTGATGCTGTGACCGCGCTCTAAATCGGTTCATCGATAAAAAAATTTAAAACAAAATTTATTGAGAAATTTGTATTCTACAATATTGATAATAAATACATCTAACAAACATAGGAAGTGGGATATTTATAAAAAAGCGCACAGCACAACATTTTTTGAGTCAACTTTTAGGGTGTCAATATGCAAGTATGTATTTACACACTTACAGCTGGGTATCTCGAATTCCGAGGTGAACTTACTATAATGACTGGGCTAAAAAAATAAATACCAATTAGCCTTGAATCAATTTGGGTTATGCAAATCCCACGAAGAGTTTCATGCTGGAAATATATAGCCCCGTAATTTCGTTCAGTTTTCATTACCAGAACAATCAGTCATAATTTCAAGGTCGAGGTTAAATAGCTAACAAACTTTAACGTTAGCGATTCCCAACTTGTCCTACAAGCCTTCAAACGCCGAACTTTCTTTACTCGCCTGGCACGGATATCGCTGAGAATCGATTTTTTTGTTTATAAAATACTATACCACACTCATTGCAATGAACCCCACTAAGCATACAACTAGGCAAACAAAAAATGACCTCAAAAAGTAGGAAAATAATTAGTGAAGAGACATTAGAGGAAGAGGAATTGTTTAAACATTGTCGGGAGGTGGAAATTGTTTGTTATGCTATAAGTAAAGTGATCATTCAAGCTAGTAATAAATGGAGTGGTCCTGGAGCGAAATCGAACTCCTTATCGAACAGGAATTATATTATGGAATTGGTGAATATACAGGTTAGTTCACAATAAAAGAATTTTTAGAATATAAAATTAAATCAATTTTATATGTCTCGGATAGACGAGATAGAGAGTAAAAAATAAATAAACTTGTATGTGCTTGTGTGTGCATTATATTGCTCTCCATCAAATGGCTTTTCAAATGTATCATGATATTGTAAACATTAAACGAAAAAAAAGACAGTTATATAATTTAACTCAAATTATAAAAACAACAACACGTTTCTCAGTTCTTAAAATAAAACTGAGAAAGTTCAACGGTATGTTTCTTTTTTAATTTTCTAATCATGTATTCTAGGTATTAGATCAGATAATAGAGTATTTAACGAAACTAGTCAAATCCTTTTACAAATTGAATCCGAAGCTAGCTAGACTAAAAAAGGAAAATGCGCTAATGTTGAGCAAACACGACCACGCTTTTGAGAAATTGTGTAGCAGACGCTTTATTATGTGTCAAGCCATTAATGATTTGATTACGACGATATTATCGACCTGTCTCCGTAGGGAAGACTCGAGGAAGATGATTGAGTCTTGCTTATGGTAAGTAGAGATTATATTTTTAACTCAATGTCCAAACTCCTATCGAATCCGCAAACTTTTTATGTTTTTTCTCCATGTATTAAGCAAATTATAACATTACACTAGTATAAAATGATAATAAAACATAGCTTAAAAATGTGTGTATATATAACTAATGCGGTTAGAGGAACAATCTGTAAATTGCGGATGTTATCATGCCATCTCGCTCATATGCTTTCTCTGTCTATATCTCACATCGTGGTACGCACGAAAAATTACAAGTTAAAACAATACTTTAAAATCGAGTTATAATTTTACAAATGCATTTAATATCAATAAATATTTCTTAATAATTTATTGTGTTAACGTTTAGTATTAATGTTGACTCTTATATAAGCGATTAGTAATCGCATAATATATTTTGCCCGACGGTAGATGTAGGTTGCAACTACCCTATTGGCCGCCATTTGCATAAAAAAATTCTAACCGCACAAGTTATTTGTAAACGTAACAACATTCAGTATAATGTTGGTGAAAATATACTGTGCACCGTTGACATGTGCTTCACATTACTTTCAGTTTGGTAGGAATATACAATAATCTAACGGGATTGAGTTACAAAAAGTTTGCTGTAAATTTCAATGTATGCAGCAATACCTACCCTTGTGTCATCAGTGAAACTAAAGCTATCACACTAACAAAAATAGTTCAGGTATGTAACGTTCTTTCTCTGTTTCCTCTTATTGGGTCATAGGGCAAACACATTTCTGTGTCCGTTTTATTTACAGACAAGAAGTTGAAATGACACTTATACTCCGCTTATCCAAAACTATCGTTTCCCTAGGGTTTGATCACTAATGAAGTAATAGGGATTCCTTCTAACGAAATATATGTTCTAGATTTTGTCTAAGAGTCGCACGGAAGTGAATTGCCACCGGCTTATCAACTGCTTGGTACAAATGTACAGCCCGGAAGAACATACAGACAACGAATCGACATCTAGCAGCGCTGATAGTCTGGAGATTTACCAGTAAGTGTATATTACTGGACCTAACGTAAATATGCAATCAAAAACAGTCCAGCCGTTTTCATATTTAGTTAATTACTCTATTTGCAACAGCAAATTAAAAGATTTTAAATAAGTGCACAAGAAAAAACCACTGCTAGTTTTAAAAAAAACCCTAAGGTGTTTGTTATCCTACTTTATCAGGCTTTCGATAATTTGTATACAAGTTATATATAGGTATAAATAAAACATTTTAACGGTTAAAAAGCGATAAGTATTAGTTAAAATTTTTGAAAATTATTTTAACTACGGCCTGACGTTTCGGGGGAAAGTTACTTAAATGTGTACTACTCGCGTAAACTACAGACATACATACATATTTAAATTACACAAACTTGAATGAAAATATCTATCCCTTCTGTTAGTTATTTATTTGAATAAGCTGGAGCAATTTTGTAGAGCCCTGCACTGGACCGTCTGATTAACTGACACTTTAGGGTAGGTAGGTTTAATGCTCATAAAATAAACGTGTGCGAAAACTAGATATACAAGAAAAGACCACCAGCAATCCACCAGTGTCCATTTGTCCTGCATTGAATTTGACCAACTCTTTGTATCTATTACTTTTCAGCACCCTTACAAAACACATAACCCCGCCATCTTCGTCTGTACCAAGGCAGTTGGATCTAAAGAAACGCCGAGAAGCGTTCATCGAAAACAAAAAGGCGAAGATGAAACAAGCACAAAGCCTTATTGAATCGAAAAACGGTCACAAGAAGCTAACAGATATTTTGAATCCGCAAAATTCCGACTCTGAAATACCGTACACATCACTCCTGAGCAACGAATGCGTTTTGGATATATTTCTTAATGAAGGTAGGTAAAAAATTGCGTTACCTTAAGTTACTTTTTTCCCAGTACACAAATTTTACAAACAATGACTCTAGGACGAATGTCGTTATGATTCGTCACCAAATACTGTATTTTTTTTTTCTTTTAGATAACGTTAACAGTGTACTTCAAAGCGAAGAAATATACATTGAGATATTACTAGATACTGTAGCAAATATATCACCGATATTATTGGGTACTAAGGGTGTTAAAAAGCTTAAAACAGGTAAGAATTTAGTTGTAGTAGTTCTAGAAATCTTAAAAATATGTATTCAGAAGTGTGACTAGTCAGTTAAATATGACGACAAAAACTGGTTTTTGTTTAATACCTTTCAATGTCTCAATTTTCAGGCAGGTTACAGGCAAGCAAGAAAGCAGCACAAAAAGTGACGGAATATTATCAAAATATTCTTTGGGGTGACGTCGGCAGTTGTCTTGAACATATTGTTTTATGGTGGTCTTCATTTCCGTTAGCCACAAGGTTGTATTTAAACTAATATGGGTTAGGATCAGACTATTTTACTACAGAAACTACGTATTTTTATGAAATGTTGTTTTAATTTTAATGTATTATAACTAACTAATGTGGTTAACTGACAGTATAGATACTATAGACACATACATATATGAAAATATAAATAGGGATGAAAGGACATTAGTTTTGGTGTTCTTGGAGATTTTAATTCAATTCTATCAACGTTTATAGGTCACCGAGCGTCAGTCAACATCTTCGAGAATGGCTTTTTTCAACTTTCAATGTAAATAGTAAGTTACACCATATTATTGTTATTGTTATTAGAGCAATCGAAAAGTGGTCTAAAAAGTTCTGTAGCTCGTTGGTCTAAACAGTATCAATGTATAAAATTAGTACCTTTAGTTTTAGACTAGTCTTAACTTTAATGACTCTAAACTTTTAGAACGAGAATCTAGAATTTGATTCCCATACAGTAGAACATGTTTATTGATATTTTTTGTTATTTTTTTGAACACGAACACGACGGGATGAATAGAGAAATTGCGCTCGATTTACGAATCACCGTCCACACATAAAAATTCAGGAAAGTTTATTCGCGTTTCGGCTTCAGTCTGTAGATTTCAGCAATTCAAAAATCGGTCATTGCCGAATTTTGTTTAGATGTTAGGTTGGAGTATTTCACTTTCCATCAAGTGGACGCTTAAATTATAAAATATAATATATATTTGTATATATCTCTAGTGTAGTTTTAGTATATAATATTGTTATTCTTTTAGATACTCCAGATCTAATACTATCAGCATTAAGGATTTTAGCAGACGCCTTAGGTTGTCATGTAACATCTTCGTCGTGGGATAAGCATTTTGGGTATACGTTTTATTTGTACTTATTTTTGTCGAGAAAAATTGAAATTTATTTTCTCTTACGTAGGGCGTGGGCGGACGCAATTGTGTCCATACCCCAAATCGATTTTTAACATTCAGTTTATTTGACTACTGTGTCCTTACTGACTAAAGAGTTGCCCTGGAAGGTCGACCTTAACGTGATATCGAGAAGTGTAATATTTTTTTTATTTAACAGTGCGACACTGACGACAAACTTAAAGCCTACGTCTTTGAAAGCGTATCCAGATCTTTCTATAACTGTGACAGAAGTAAGTATATTATTAGGTACGAACCTAATGTTTTATCTACGTTTTCATCCTTTAAGTTATTCAGATTAAAAACGCAAAAGAATAATCCAGTCAAATTAAACTTTCAAGCTTAAATAGATTAATAGAGCTAAAAATTTAGACCCTACTATTATAAATGAATTATAAAAAATCCCCATTTTCAAAAAAAAAACATTCAATAAGGTAATTCACCTCTATGAGACTAATTTGACTGGACTATTAAATAACTAAAAATCGTGTAACGTCTACCGCATCGTAGTTTCAAAATTATTAATGCCTTTTATACCTTAATTATTAATGCGTTATAAAACGATTTTATTTGTTTTTTTTTATTCTGTTACAGGCTACGGAAACTGGAGCAAATTTCGCGGTCATGCTTCAAGAGTTAGTATCTCTGAATAACCACTGTGAAGTGACCTGGGACTACATAATGGGCGCTCCTTTAGAAGACTTGCCGATTGTCGAACAAATACCTATATTGCATAGACTCGGTATAGTATATTTTAAGTTATATAAATAAAATTAAACTTTGAGTTTTCATAAGAAAATATTGAAAACATTAATATTTTTTACACATTATTGCACATGAAGGCACTATATAATTTAAACATCGATCGTATTTAAGTATATTTTAAACCGTATGAATTTCTTTATTGTTCTCTTGGCTATTGTTCTAGTATTAACTAAATACGATGAACGAATGATAGTAAATATAGGCTTCATAATATTATACCCATAACTAATTTATACATTAATAAATTTACGATACTGCGGACGCCACCGGCATCACAGCACTTGATCTAACCAATTGGTACCGTTACACGTCATTGTGAATTTTTTCAACCTAATCATGCATGCACCTCTCGCGCAATAAAATTCATTTGACGTTAACAATTTTGTTGTATTAGTGTCTTCTTTTAATTTTTTATATGTTTTCTTTGTTTCGTCCTATTTAGATTTGTCTAACGTGACAATTTCAAAACACAGCCATTGTTAAAGTTCTTTTACCTTCTAGATCATTCAATCCACACTTATCGTTTATGGTGCCTGGCTGAAACTCGTCGGCTCGTGAATAATTGGGCGATGGATGATTTCTTTCGCATCGCTCAAAACGACATGACCGCTTGCATGGAGCAATTAAATAATTTGAGATTCGCCGACCACACTACTACTATAGAGTCAGGTAAAAGCTAGTTAAAACATAGATTTAAGATAATTTTTAGAAAAACTAATTTCAACATGGCAGGGACGTCGTCGTCTTCGGCGTCCACAGTGTTCCGTGCTGCCGCTAACCAATTGAACTATCAAATCAAGCTTAATTGATAAGAGATCGTTTCTTTATTTGAATAGATTTTTATTGATATAATGCCATCGTCTGCAACATGTAAAATGCTAGTTTAACTTTATCATGTTTAAAAAACGTTTGATTTAAAATATGTAATTTATATAAAAAATACAAGATTTATGTTGTATTAATTAACACATTAAAACTACTTTTTAATGTGTCGTCACTGTGAATAATAAGAAGGAAAAACATGCTTTACAGGAAAAATCGGTGTCCATGAGAACGTGTGTGCAAAAATGCGAGAAAAACTGGTGTCTGAAGTGAAAGTGAATATTCAGAAATTAAAGGTAAATTTGACATAATAGTAATAAGTACTCTTTAATTATTATTATTTCAATTATAACAATGCATGGACCAACACGTCGTGGGTTTGGTTTCTACGGGGACCAGTATGACATATAACAATCATAAAGTAAAAAAGGAAATAAATTACTGCAGCGACGAACGTTAAAAGTCAAGTCCATCAAAGCCTAGTTGCGGCCAAGGCTTGTATAGTACTTTTCTCAAATAATTCGCGAAAACTAAAACTAAGTAGTACAAGTTTAATAAGTAGTATAATTATAAAAGATTTTACGCGCCAGTATATATTTTTTTCACTAAACAGCTCTCTATGTCTATCACCTCTTTCTTCGCATGTTACGGAGTATAAGATCATTCCATTTTTAAATTACATGACAAATATGGTCTTACACAGTAATTTAGTTGCTGTTCGACCAGTACCTGCAAGTTTATTTACTCTCGAAGAAGGTTATCAAAATAATGCAAAAATTTCCAAGCATGTTTGAGATTTTTATATTAATTTCCAGGATGCGACAGAAGAAATAACATTTATGTTATCCTCTGTATGTGGCACGACGAGTCTCGCGCACTTAACTATGATTTTCCCCTGTAACGCAGACTGGAAAAGAATAACTGAAGCTCTACCCGAACACTCTGTATATGTCCACGAATTTTTAGGTAGGTACAACATGTTATGATTTTTTTAAATATGCTTACTATGTCCCAGTACAGACCTAAATAAAAGCGTATAGGTCTAATTATTTTATTTTCTAGAAACCGTTGCTATTTTGTAATCTTCATATTTGTTTTATTTAACTACTTTATACTTAACACAAACGTTACAACGAAAAAATGGATTTGACTTGTATATATAGTTACCTTTAAACAGCATAATAAATAGATCTTATTTTTTTTATTAGAGAAAATGCTACATCCTGTAATAAAAGCGACAACCGACATCACAACACTGAATATGATTCTAAGGATAATGTGCGAGTCCTGGCTGCACCATATCTACGTGGCTAAAGTGAAGTTTACGTAAGCTTTTTTAAAGACAAAAAAATATACAAATCGGTCGATAAATATAATTGTAAGACAATGGCAACACTAAGCGACTGAGGTCGTAGAGGTTTTATTTGTGGAAATTAAAAATACTGTTTTACTGAAAACTTTTAAATTAAAACATAACATTTAATTATTTAAATTCTGTCTGTAGTTCAAGCGAGTAGTACCTACATATAAAAAAATAACTTAGTTAGAGTAATTTGTTTGGTTTGATATTTCGTGTTTTTTAACCGTTCAAAATGCTTTATTTAAATAAATAAATTTTTACAGGAAAGAAGCCGCGGTCCAACTATTAGCTGATTTTAACGAAGTTCGCGTGTGGTTGAACGAATGTAAAACTCTTTCTGCCACAGCGAGAAAGCAAATGTTACAAAATGAAGTTTTAAGGTAAGATTTTGTACACCAATATTACAAATATATCTTTAAGCAAAGTAGTTTACATATAAACAAATCTTACAAAAATATATTTCAACCCAATAATATCCCACACTTGGGCACGGTTCTCGTCTCTCATATGAGAGGAAAATAGTCTACTGAACGTGTCAATGAACTATAACAACTAGTGCCACTTAATTTGTTTGAATGATTAGATCAAAATGATTCACGAGGATCTATGTGCTAATGCATATTAACTTTGTTATGAAAATGATATCCATGTACGGCTTGGTACATTCCTGCCATCACTACTTTAATAAGATTTTCATCAAGAACGTTGAAATTACATTATGTGAGAGGTGCATGTATGACCGAGAACAACGAGTAGGACACCTTAGCTCAATTGGTTAGAGCAACAGCACGGTACGCTGTAGATGTCGGTTAAAGTCTTGCCCGTGTTGTATTTTTTTCCATTTTTAATCAAGTTATAACACTACTACTACTAGTGTAATACGTTAATATTTTATAGACGCTGCGAAGGTGTCGGTCGACTACTGTTGCACGCGCCGGGAGATTTGATATCCATGCAAGAATCTACAATGCCGTCTGCGAAAATACGCAGAGACGGTACGCTATTTTTATTTTGCTTACTTTTTAACTAAGGCTGTGTTTAAGATTACGTTTGTTATGATAAGGAGGACAGACAAGTATAGGGTATACTTTATGATAGATCAAATGCCCCAGCCATATAACATCTAAACAAGATGTGCTGTCCATCTATTGTGGCTTTGGATAATCGGAAATCCACACGGGTAACCGAAACGCGATTAAACTTGACAGCTTTTCATCTGTGGACAGTGGTTTACCTAGACGGTATTTCGATATCCCTACTCATTTAATATCCGAATTTTCAGACGAAGTCCAATATGTTTCAGAAAAATAAATTGAATAGAAAAACATTGAATCGAACCCACTTCCCGTTGATTTTTAGTTATACATTTCTACCATCACAACAACGAGCCCGTCTGTTAATATACTCTCTCCATTATGACCAACGTCACAAAACAATTGTTTCAGATAATGAAGCGCCCGACCAACTGATGCCAGCGGAGATGTACGTGCCAAATCAAAAACAATGGCTTACACTCCGCGCAAGTAAACTAACAGGACCAGTCGCCTTTACGCTTTGTTGCTTGGTTCTATATTGAAGACAGGCGTATAGGGTAGGACCCACCCTCAAAAATAGTCAGTTGATAAAATGCATTATAAAGGCGTAAAATGGAGTAACTATCTAACATTAATATGTTTTATCATATATAATTCTCCACGAAAATATTATTATACACCATTGACATTAAATTAATATATTCTGACCTGTTAATGAAGTTTTATGTCTGCCTTCTGTAAAACATATAGAATACTAAATGGAATTAAACTAATATATATATTATATTTATACTATATAATATATATACTATAGTTGATTCCTCTTCGCTGTTCAATGTCATAGAATGGTGTAGAAGTGTAGAAGACATGGGACATAATAATGGTAAACATGGAATGAGAAAAGATCCTCAAGAAGTGATTTTTTATTTAATAACAAAAGATTGCCCATTATAACAACCTTATTGAAAATTCTCCTTTAAAAGCAAAAAGCGCAAAAGACAATGTTCATAACAACATAAAAGTAAGTCGATTTTATTCATCCTGAAAATTATAAATAGCCCCTTGAATGTGCCTAAATAAAACGCACGCACAAGGTTTATTAATATTTGCCCGTTTGATTCACTTAACTATGCTTGATTGGTTCTTCGACGTTACTAACTTTTATACTGTGCTATAAATCACCTTGTTTTCCATTGTCAAAACTGTTCTATTCTCTGCTTTAATAAATAAATAAATGTATAACTCACTCTATTACTTCAATCGGTGTTAAAATGTAAATATAAGATAGTGACGTCACTAGCCTTAATGTAGCGTTATTTAAGTGTTGGATTTTAAATGTCAAAAATACTACTCTTCTGGGATTCCTTTACATCTACCAAATAATATAAAGTTCATTGCTTAGAAAACACTTGGCAGCAAATAATAAAATGAGTGAATAACACAATACAATTAACACAAAGCCGTTTTATTTCGCCATCTTCGAACCGAAGCGATGCAGAATGGAGCGCAGTATGCAGTACAAAACTAACACAAGTTAGCCACCACACTTCGCTCCACAAGGCATTATCCTCGTCCAATCAGGAAAAGTCCTTCGTTGATAACAGTCCGATTAAGCGTCGATTAAAACCCAGATCAAGTTGAACATCGATTAGAAATCTAGCTCAAGTCAAACTTGGGTATAAGCGAGCTCAAACTGAACATTTTCAAAATTAGCTTCAGTTGACTTAGCTTAAACTATAAACGTACATCATTACGAACTAACATACTATTTCTTACTCGACTACGCTAAAAATCATTATGTTATAAGGAAATAAGATTAGATATATTACAGCTAATAAGCTGTCGACTATTCTTTGTAACACATTTCATTGATTTTCCTTTCGTAAAACGTAACTAGAAAGTAGAAATTAATGCTGAGTACGACTTTTAAATAATGATTATTAGAAAAACAATAACATTAATTGCTCGCAATGCATAAATTGATGAAGCTTTGTCATTAATGATTTCATTTCTATATTGCACTGTCACCTAAATTATTCCATTAAACTTAAATTCATTAAAACATGGTAAAAACGATCGTCATTAATATATTTCTTACAACTATGACTAATGAAACGAAAATGCATTTTCAACCTTATCTACTTGGACCAGCTTCACTGAAAAATAATCACTGTTTCCTAAATATATATGTTTCTAGGCTTGCCCGTTTTTCAGGTAGAAGAATTTTAGACAGAGGCCTTTTTTGCTTATTCCATCGCTTTTTATTGTAAATGTTATTTGACCTTTAACAAATAAGGTTATTAATTGATTTCATGTTTACAATTGAAACTCATTCATCACTATCTGAGTCTGATTTCCTACATTTCTCTTTGAGTTTATCATACTCGTTTCTATTAATGAGATCCTGTTTCAGTCTCTCCATATCGCTTAAAAGGCTGCTTACTTGCACGTCTTGGTACTTATCTGTGCCTCCATCACTATCCAGGCCTGAGTCTTCATTTGCTTCATCATCGTCATCATCATCAGATTTAATCTCTTTCACTTCAGTATCAGAAGTGGGATCGTCAGAATCGGAGCTTTCTTCTAACTTATTGTCGGGTCTATACGCTTTGGGCACTTTATCTTCATCTTCTCGCATGAATATGTCTTTGTCGGTTTTGTCACCACCGTCCTGGCGTTTGCGCTTCCTTCGCATGTTCTTTGCTATAACGCGTTTGATCACCCGCTTTTGATGATCCAGTTGTGGAAACAGTTCTGAAATAATGCGTTGATGAATTACTATATAATATCTGGGAAGACAAACCACAAATGGAAATAACAGCACAATAACACAAATTGTACCAAAGGAAGTAATAACACAGCTGACAGGTTTAATTAGTTAAAAAGGATACATACAAATAGGAAAAATACAAATATATATAGAAGATCTATACAAAAAAAACAGACGTTTAGATGTGTATGGACAGTTAATCCTGTGGGTCTAATAATTTATCAATTTATTTCGTTGAAATCTGGATATTAAATAGGTGGTAGAAATAAAAAAAGCGAACCCTATGTTTGTTTGTCTGTCCTCCCTATATTAAATCCTTTATCCCTAATAAACACATACCATGAGCGCAGTTAAGCGCCTGCTGCGCCGCGTTCATTTCAGCCTCTTGTATAGAGTGCCCTCTGCCAGCCGCTAGCCGTCGACCACGGAAGTACACGCCCACTGTATACGCACGAGTGTTGGTCGGCCCGAGACACTCGATAACCCTAAGAACATATATGTATTGTAAATTGATTACGTAATATCTACGACACGTCTTAACTTGATCTAATCTTACGTTATTAATATGCTTATTAACTTTTAAGTTTCAAAAAAATACGAAGCAGATTTTCGACACTTTTGTTTTGTTTTTGCTTCGATATTGCAGTGGAAATATTCACTTTTTTTGTTTAAGTGATGTCCAGTAATTACTTAAATTGGCAGGGATATAACAACAGCGGTAATTTCAGGTTCGATTTCTGCTGATATAATTATACATTTAAACGAATACAAATGTATAGGGGACAAGTTAGTAGTACTTTTACAAAGCATAGTAATTAAATCACACAAAAGTAAATAATTAATAAGAACGACTCTTAAATACTTGTAGACTGGTATATCCGGTTCCCCTCCCTCCATGGAACGCAGCGTGAGGCAACACTGTTGTAGTTTGGACTTGGGATCGTTCCAGTCCTGGTTCATGATAAACTCTTGCAACCGAGGGAACACACAGGCACTGCAGAACACTTGACAGTATTCCAAGTTCTGAAATATAGAGTGATTGTAGTCTGTGCATATTCAATTATTATTTAGATAATACACAAACATGGGTTCAGCTTAAAGGAAAGTGAAATATTGATTTATAAAACGTGTATTAAACGGTATTATATGATATTTCTCGTTAACAAGAGTTTACAGAAAGGTGAATTGCTATAATTGAAAAAGTTCAATGCCATTGGTGGGACTGGAATTCATGACCACAACGTATCTTGCTGTTGCTCCGACTAACGTTTGATCAGAGTATTTTATTTTTCAATTTTTGATAAAATTCCAAAAGTTTATAAATTTCGTATTTAACATGACTATAAAAACATGTTAACCCAAGTTACAAAACGTCACTACAAAAGTCTATTTTATATGGGGCTAGAGGCAGAGTGGCCTAATAGACAAAACATGATTTTTAATCAGGAGGAAAATAAAAATGCGCAATTAACTTAACTTAAGCAAAAATGAATTTGTACTAAATTATTTGTGTAAAAATTATGTTGATAATTTTCGGTCACTGTACCTCTTTTAGATTAACATTTTTAGACTATGAAAATACAAATAACTCAAGTTATAAAATTGCAGTTATCATACAACAGTCTCATAGATATATTTTAAGTGAACTAAGAAAGAGAAGAAATAATAAATAACATACCTTATCGATATATAGAGCGCCAAGAAATGCTTCAAGCAGATCAGCCTTGTGCTTCTTAGCTGTGGGCTTCGCTTTAGGGTTGTTGTATATGGCGTATTCAGACATGTTCAAGTCATCGCATACCATAGCTTGCGTACGATTGTTGACCAAAGACGAGCGAAGTAGCTGAAATTATTTGAAAGCTTACAATTTATTAATTTTAAAATATTATCATTCTCTTATATTGGAATAAAAGTCATCGGTCTCAAAATAATTATAAAAAAAACTAGTGAAGGCGATGCAGAAAGAGCTTGTAACAAACTAATTTGAATTATAAAATAATAAAACAATAAAAATATACACTCCCAACAATATGGAATCAGATTTCTTTTCAGAAAGTGTTTTAAATTAATTAATAAAAAATATTTAACCTTTAAAGTGTAACTGTTTTAATATTGTTTATTTAATGGCGACAATGACGAATGACGTCACGCACTGTAATTGGTGTTAATTTTGAAAACTTTAATAATTTTCACATGTTGTCGCACATAATGACACTATATACATTAAAAATTATTAAGATTGGCACTTGCGGGACGGTCAATTGGTTAGGTTACGTGACGCTATAGATACTGGTTTAAGTCCCGACGTTGTCTTAGTTTTTTCTTCAAACTGAATAGAATTTGAACTTTTATCATATATAACAAATGTTATTACTTCACTTTAATATATTTGATAAATAATCACAAAACTATTACGGACTACTCCATTGCTACTGTTAATTGCCAAACCTATGTATTGTATCATCCTATGTAAGACATGGCATAGTGATATGATAAAAATGTCTACTCACAGACAAGTGCCCTTCGTGGTGATCGGGGAAATAGCGGTAAAGCTTATCCGAGACGACGAGTTGCAGAACCGTGTCGCCGAGAAATTCGAGTCGTTGGTTCGAGCCGAGCGTCAAATTCGTGAAGCCGACGGAACGGTCGGTGAACGCACGCGCTAGTAGGCGGATGTGCTTGAATTTCACACCTGTAATTAATTATTAATGGTAGTTAGTAACGGTGGTAAACTTTAACAATGTCTAATGTGTGTAAAAAAAAACAACATTAATTTTGCGACAGAAAGTGTGGCACATTTACCCTTTCCAGGAAACTGATAGACCTATATACTCGCGTTCCAAGTGTATAAAAAACTTACCTATAGACTCTTCAAAGACAGTTAACTTTTGTAAAAATTCAAAGTCCTTGATATACTGCCTGTCGCCTACCGGTTCTTGTTCTTGCAGCGAGTGGGCGCGTTCCTTCATCCATATATCGTATAATATTAGCTCATTATGCCAAAGCGCTTGAGCAAATACTCGGTCCGTTATCTTTAAATAAAATGGAGTAAATCAATGAACATAGAAATATATTTTTTTTATGACAGAGGAGGACAGACAAGCATGGGGCTGACTTGGTGGTACGCTTTCTACCTTTTCTGGCTTTGGATATTCGGAAATCCACAGACTAAAACCGAAGAGATGAAATTTCACGGCTTTTTCATCTGTGGACAGCAGTTTCTGACCGGGACGGGATTTCGATATTCCCACTATCCATTTAAAATCCAGATTTCCAAACGAGGTCCAACATGTCTCATAAAAATTATAATTTGAAATCCTATCCACTTATCCCGCGGTATACAATTTGTGGTTGAAATTAATATTCTTTTTTTCAATCTAAAATCGATTTTTAATTTATTTATTGCTAACAAGCGCAAGCACAATGTAAATAGTTGTGAGGCGTACCTCCAAACCGGCATCGAGGAACAATCCGCCCATGAGCGCTTCGAAACAGTTGGCCATCGCGTGACGCATGACCACTTCTCGGCATAAGTCCGAACCGTGTGCGTATAACATGTATTTTTCTAGGCCTATATTCTATAAAAAGAAGATATCATTCTCAGTCAGGATCATATTCAATGTATAAATACAAATACAGTCACAGATAAACAATAAATATGCATACTATTTTAATGAAACAAAAAGAGGTTATATGGTGATTTCGTACAATAATTTCGAAACAGTTTACGAGACAACGTTATGTTTATGTATTTACAATTAATGAAAACATTTTTAAACGGTTTATACTTTGGACCAAAAAACCAAACTGTTACTAAGTGTATTGTTAAACATGTAAACTACAGATAATTTTAAATCTTTAATAATCTTTTTATAAGAAAAAAACATGATAGCATTATATAAATTAAAAATAGATTTTAGATTGAAATGTTACAACACGGTAGATCAATTGGTTAGAGCAACAGTACAGAACGCTGGATGCCGGTTCGAATCCTGCCCGTGTCGTATTTTTTAAAATCTAAAATCGATTTTTAAAGATACTCTTTTATTTTGATACTCACTTTGAAGTAAGATTCATGATTGATTCAGTTGTGAGTGGAGAGAAAATATTTCTTCATTACCTTAGCCAACAATGCAAGATGTTGGTTCTGTACGATAGCAGCGCGATATGTAGCCAGACCGCCTTCTGCCAACCCCGGAAACATCTTAAACAGATGTATGGAAGAAATGAACTCGACCACAGCATCTCCGAGAAACTCCAAGCGTTCGTTGTGTTTAATTTCCGACTTCGTCTCGTAACTTTTGCCGAAGCGGGACATTATGTTTATCAATGTGACAATACCTGAAAGGAAAGATCGAAGTGAATACTAATAAATAAAGGATAAATACATTTACTATGTACTTATTTAGGTTCAAACTCCCATTTTTTACAGCTTAAGAAGTGATGAAATGTAGATAAAATTACAGATTTATTTATCTAAATATATGTTTAATTTATATAATGCCAATATGTGCAATAACAATTATATTTATGAAAAGTTTAATAAAAAAAAATAAGTTTTCAAAATAAGATGTCTAATACAAAACAAAACCCTATTATTTAAGCGAACTACTTTTGTTTTTACGGCTTGCTGGATCTATACACACATTTTAAGAAAGCACTTAAGAGTAACAGATGGGGTCTTAATTATAGCTGTATCCAAAAAATATAAAACACAAGGGTCATACAACTGAAGAGGCAACGCCATTTTTCTAGACTAATTATATATTTTTTTATAACTTACCCTTCTTCCTTGTATAATGTATCCGTCTGTCACCATACTCTGGCTGGCGTATTCCACAGTTAGTTAAAGTGTTTCTCGCATGGTCAGGGTTGGTTCCGAAATTCTCTCTATATGACGGGTGTGTGAGAGCTGTCTGCAACAAGGCTCTCTCCTTGAACCTGTACCCGATCACTTCCTCCAAGCTATCTAGGGACTTGTGGAAACGTAGATGGCGTACGAGGACCGGGATCAACATGGCGTGCTGGAAATTATATAAAAGTAAATATCACAAATCTGCGGACCTGAGTTCAATTACGAATGTCGAAACTATTAAATACTAAAGTCTTTAAAGAGTGGTTGTCATCTTCATCACGAAAGCCTTATACAACTAATACAAACTCCATATTTCTTACGACTTATCAGCTGTCAAAGTAAGGTGCATCTCAAAAATAGTTTATTCGTACCGATAGCTACACCTATGAACAACTTGCTAGAACAGTTCAACAAAAGCATATAACAAACGATATAGCAGTTTGCAGCCACTCTTTTTTATCCAAGTCTTATAAAAAAAAGGAATAACACTGTAATTAGTCGCTGAGAAATCTATATACTTGTGTATATATGAATCATTTCTGTAAGGATCCAGCAAGTTTCATAAAATATCTAATACGACAAAACAGGTGGCGCTAGTGTGGGCAGCTTTGACTTTGACATTAGATCCATCCTAGTCCCCTCGTGATTAGGGCTGCTTCAAAGGGTACAAAACGTCGGGACGTGTATAACATTAATAAAAAATACCTTAAGTAAGATATTTCGCGTTATAAACCGTAAAAATTGATGAGTTATATAAATATAAGTACTAGCTATATAAAAGTTCCTGTAATCTGTTTTTTGCGTAGAGTTTAGTCGTGACAAGAAACACGCCAATGCACAATATTTGACCTAAAGAGAACGAAACTCTATTATCAATAAACGTACTTGCACAACGTCGCACATGAGACCGGTCGTGTGAAACCCCTCGGAGGATATGGCAACTGTGACGTCCCGTTTCATTTTGCTCTGCGTGCGCATTTCTTGCAATTTCGCCTCCTTCGCCGCCAACTTCTGACGCTCGTTGAACGAAGGCTTCGCCATATTTGCGATCAGGTGGCGATATTTTACGTAGTAGCGCCACGCCTTTTGATATCTAGGCAAAAGACCTCACAATAAATAAAATTACCTCATACAAGACCTTTAAAAATATCTCGTACAAGATTACAACATTTTTCTTGAAAATCAAAATTTCAGAACTTTGAATCTGCAGGTATTTAGTAATATTAAAACATTATAAACATGTATTATACACTAGCTGTGTCAACTTCTGTTCGCATAGATTAGTACTCTTGGGTGTCAAAATTTGTTTTTACAAACCTCCACCTCATCTTTATAAATCATAGCTTTTAGCCAAGCCGTTGTTCGCGTCATTCTAGCATATTAATGCTAAAAGATAGACATATACTGTGGACATTTTTTAGATCATTAAAAGAGGAATCATTCATCAGACCCATATTTATGGGTATCTTGAACCGTTTTCGCAACATTTGCAACGGAAACCCACCAAGATGAATGATGCATATCAAGAATATTTCAATTACAACCAGTAATTCCTAAGGCTAGCGCGTTCAAAACTCTTCAGGTTTATAATATTAGTATAGATAACATACTCCGGGTTCCCCGTATAGCTCAGTTGTGGAGGTCTTATCCCAAAATGCACTATTTCCGGGTAGAACTTCTTGACTTCTTCCGGTTCCTTAATGTTGTAGGGCGGACTTCGGTCTATTTGATCTACACGGACTGAACATGGCTTTTTGCCGGGGTATGTTACAATCATACCTACAACATAAAGAAAACAGCATAATTAGCCAGTTTAAACATGACCTATAGTTAAATTATTGTATTGTGTAAAAGTAGTTTGTGAAGTAGTGGTGTATGTAGTTGAGAATTGAATATAAGTAATTAATTAAGTATGTATTGCAGTAAATTACAATATTTTAACATTATTATCGCAATAAGATAAAAATAAAAGTTATATGTAACGAAGAATGCTTAGAGAGCTCGACCAGCCCCTTTAGAGCGAAGGTCTAACTAACAAATACAGTATACTATGTCCTCCAAATTCCGTCCGGATCATGGCTACCCTACACAGATGTAAAAGTCGCGAAGTTTAATCACGTTTCGGTTTCAGTTGGGAAATCCGATTATCCAAAGCCAAAATAGGTCCACGGCACATCTTGTTTAGATGCTATAGGCTGCGGTATTTTACCTACATTTTTCTGTCCTCCTCTATCAGTAAAAAACAATACCTTTAATCCTGTCAACGAATTTCTGCCAGTGATAATGATCCATATTATGAACATCCGCAAGAGACTCCGGTGGGATGAGCAAGCTGCTCTCCTCGATTAGATATCTTAGAACTTCACACATGGATAACACCTGCAAATCAAATTATAATATTCATTAGATTTTATTATAGAAGTTTTATTTTAGAAGTGCTGTAAATAACGGTCATTACTACTTTTTAACCGAATTTAAAAATACTGCTTCACAATTATATTATAAAAATATTTATGAAATCATTTCTATTTATCTAAATCAAAATACGTACTACTCTGTACGAGGCATATTTGTTTTTTTAAAACTAAAGTATTTACAAAAAAAATGTAGTTTCCATAGTAGCAAACAAGGAAGCAAGAGTCTTGCGGCAATTTTTAATGCTATTTTTGTTCAGCTTATAAACCGAAGTAGATTTCACATTCAGTTTAAAATATAAAATATGTATAAGAAAAAAATACTTTTACTTAAAAACGTCAAATTTTCTTTTAATATTTTATTTCTTTAATTAATGAATAAACTTAAGTCGTCAGAAGGACCTCGCTCGCTTTTTTAATGGCGTCTTTGGTTGTTTAGAACAGGTAAATATTTTGAAGCACGCATTGAAAAAAATATATAGTTAATTTTTAATAAGCGATTGGAATAACAATTACATTAAAATTATCAGCGGTACAAAGAAATTCTGAATCCGATAAAAGACACAAACCTCACAACCACCTTCGGGGAGATATCGAACGAACCTCGGCATGAAATGAAATTGAGAACAAGTTGACTCCGTGCCTTTCCCAAGATCCAAATCTATCAACTCCAATAACTCCTTGAATAAATAGTCCTCTGAAAACGTGTGACATATTAGACTTATTCGTTTTCTCGCAATAACCTTATTGCATTAATATTGTATTAAATTAGTCCGGTATAAAAAATCTAAAAGATTTACTACAAATTTAATCTAAACCGAATTATTATCACGTGAAATAAAACAGAGTGGCACATATTTAAACACTTCTAACGGTTTAAAATGCGAAATATATTAGTTAACTTCTTTTTAATTTCTTTCATTCCGGCCCGACGTTTCGGATGCTTCGTGAAAGATTTACTTCCGACTTAATAAGTTATATAATACTAGCTGACCCGGCAAACGTTGTTATGCCATATAAATAATTTGACTACAATGCCTATTAAAAAATAAGGGTTGATCGTAGAAGGGTGAAAATTGATGGTTGTGTGTATTTTTGTATGTTGTATCATAAAAAAATAGAAATTAAAAATTTTGTCTAAAAATAATTAATACAATTTAGGGGTGGACTACCCCTAACATTTTGGGGAGAGTAGATGTTGGCCGATTCTCATAGATACCGGATAAGCACAAAAAATTTCATCAAAATCGGTCAAGCCGTTTCGGAGCAGTATGACAACGAAAACGACAAGAGTTTTATATCTTAGATGTTTCGCGTATTAAACTTTAAACATTTATGGTATTATAAAAAAATATTTGTTCGTGTTAAACCTTAAATCAAGCTTTATAAGATAAGTTTTATGTAAAAGTACATACCAAACAGATCCAACTCCTGTACAGTAAAGTTCTTGGGCGCTGGCTCTTCAACGTAGAGTATCGTGTATTCGATATTAAACCTTATCACCTTGCAATGGGGCAGTTTCGCCAGCTTATAATGCGAGAACATCGAGAAACCCGAGAAAAGGAATTCGTGTTCGTCGTGACTTATGATGGTAGGGGATTTGATAAGGAAGTTTGTTGGCGGCGATACTGTTATCCTGAAAAGAAATGTAAATAAAGTATATATAATGATTAAAAACCATTTTTTTTGACTACATGGCAGCAGGCCTGGGCAAGTTTAGTACATGGCTCAATAGAAATGTCCTTTCATATTGCTTTAAATTCGACAGGTCATGGGTTATCATACGGGAAAAGCATTATAATATTTTGATTCACTCGTCTATAATATCTTTATTCTGGATCAGAAGTTCTGTCTTCTGTTTGTAAGTGAAATGGCCTAGTGTTATGGTCAGTATATAGATCAGTGGTATGTTAGGATTTCAGCCCACAAAATGTCGCTTTTAACACATTAATTATAGACATATGACTTTATTGCTCTTTGATAATAGTTATGGCAGAAAATGAAATATTTCTAACAATCGTTGATAATATAGTGTGTTTTCACGTACCTTATATCATAAATTATAGATCCATTTAAGATTTACAACAAAGAATACACGGGCAGGACATGAACCGTCATCCATAACGTTCTATGTTGCTCTAACCAATTGAGCTACTGAGTCGTATACCTCATCGTCGAATTTTTTCAATCTATTGATACATGCACCTCTCGCGCAATGTAATTTAGCCTTAACACTTATTAATGTTTCAAACATACCTAATGCTGTTAACTAAACCGATTCCTTACCTATAATGATACAGCCTATCAATATTGCTCTGATTGGGGATACACTTGGGAAATTCCTGTTCAGCTGCGTAAACGCCGTGCCTAATACCGTGACGACGTGCGCGGGCACTACAACGACAGAGTGGTCCTCCATTCATTTCGCCGGTGTTGTTAAACCTGGCATCGATGTTAGTTATTGTTAGGAAAATTAGCAAAAAATTGTCTAAATTTATTAATTACCACAATGGTTTGTATAATGTCAATATTTACGTTTACAAATAGTTGGTCTTTTTATATAGATATTCATTCACAGAGATTATATAACAACCAAAACAACATACCATAATTCTGAATGCAACCGTCGTGGATGGCTCTGTTTTCTTTGAAGCTCCAACATCATCCTATCTGTGTAACCTTGAAGATTCTCTTCGTCTAGACAATCTTCATCCTCAGAAGATGATGATGATGTAGATGAACTGTCATCATCTACAGAACAAATGTAAAGTATACATTAGAACAGTATTTGTCATAATCCAACTAAATTTAACTATTTGTGTGTACAGCGGAGCGTCGATTATCCGAACGTCGCTTAACCGAATGACCGCTTATCCGAAACGTACTAACCCGCGGGGTCAACGGTCCCCCGCCCGACCTAAATGATGATATGCTAAAAAATCTCGATTGCCACGAATGTGATGAAGAAAGAGGTTGATGACGACGATGACCCCAGGTACCAAATTATGCAGGATATCGAAATTTTAGACCTCATGACTAATAAGGCCGACCCCACCGCTAGCACCACATCAACTACAAGTTCAGATAATGAAGATGAAAACGTAGTGAGTGCTTCTGAAGCATTTACTGGCTTACATATTGCCTTGCGTTGGTTTGAAACACAGGCTGAAAGCGACCAGTATTAAATAACTGTTCTTAAAAAAGTACGTGATCTAGCCTCTCGTAAGCGGGTGGCATGCTTCGGCAGACCAAAATGCAAGATTTTTTTAAGCGTTAATGCTACCTAGTACACATGTTTTACTATAAGATTACATATCTGCACTTTTTTGGTTATTTCATATTTGCCACTAAAGATATGTGTAAATGTAAACATAGTTTTCATTTATCTGTACGTAAATATGTATGTCTGAATCAAGATACATATAGGTAGTTCAATTATCCGAAATACCGGTTTTCCGAACACCCACGTCGCCTAATTACTTCGGATAATCGACGCTCTACTGTAATACTTTTCCACTTCAATATAAAAACTCAGATTATACAAATCAATTTAGTTTATGTTATATACAGAAAATAACAATATAAGTTACTAGTAAACACTAGTATTATTGTCTATACTAATATTATAAAACTGATGAGCTTGTTTGAACACGCTAATTTCAGGAATTACTTGTAATTGAAAAAATATATGTGTGCTGGTTAGACTTTATCTAGCAAGTCTTTAGGCTATAAAACATCACGCTGTGACCAATAGAAAACAAAAAACAGTGAGCAATGTAGAAAGAACAAAGAAATATAATTCATCTTTGAGGGATTTCCTTGCGATCCCTGCAAAAACGGTTAAAGGTACCCACAAAATATGTAAAAACATTATTCCTCTTTAAATGATCAAAAAAAATTTGCTTGTGGCGGTATGTCTATCTATTAAGATTAACTTTCAAGAACGACGTACCACAGACGACATCGTAAGTAACAGCTTAAAATGTATGAACTTGAATGTGGTTTGCCAAAACAAATTTTAATGCCTAAAATTCTATGCGGATGAAGTCCGGAACACGGCCAGTTATGTAATAAGTTGATAAACCTATGCAGATCATTATAAATACACACCATGATGTTTGCATCTTTTAGCTTTCTGTGGCTTCAATGGTGGCAATTCATCGACCACCGGCCTAGCCTTAAGTCCTCTTTCAATGAGATATTTATAGAAATTCTCACAAATTTTCTGCAATTTTCGAGTTTGCTCGACTCCACCACCACCCTCTATTGGTTTGTAATATAATTCAGCTGGTGAGCTTCTGTACCACATTTTTGGATTCTGTAATTGAAAGAAAGTATTACAAACTGATATATGCTGTCTATAATATAAAAGAGAATTTTACAACTAAATTTGCTTTGTTCCACCGCCACATGTTACCTCTATTTTATAGTTGTGGAAGTTACGTGATGTTTTAAAAATAGTTATAATTTTTCCATAAAAATTTTGCAAGCTGCATGATATAATTTGTGGCTAAAATCCACAATTGTATAACATTAATTATTTTATATCAAAAGTTGGACACAGTTAATGTTAATGCAAAATTTAATTATGGCTTGAAAGTTAAATAATACCACTATCACTACACTAAAGACTTTCTTCATTTAGACTGTCCGTCTGTGTCCTCTCACTACTAAGCAAATTAAGTATTTTACACCATATTCTTTTTTGTGCTCTTTAGTTAGTATTTTCTTCTAATAGTGTAATCATGCTTTGGCTAATGCTTAGTGTTAAGTATGTTTAACCCATGTATACTATGTAGCTGTAGGACTACCAAATAAGCAATAAATAAATAAATATATTTATATATACCTCTTCCTCATCAGAATTATGCTCCTTAGACCACTTTTCCATTTTCTTGATAAAATCTTCCGAAGTCCTACAGTAATTCTTCCTAAAATAAAATTTTTATTATTATACATTTTTTTTTTTTTTATTATTATTATTATCTGCGATCAGTCCCCAGACTATGAGCAGATGCGATGTATCTATTTAACATGTAGAGGGCATTCTCCAATGAGAACACCTACTAATTATTTTCTTTCTTTTGGAGCTATTTTCGATCTTGAAGCTCCATGATGTGGTGTCTTTTCAGGCGTACAGTATATTTATTTATGGTCAGTTGGCGTGCAAGTTCATTTGGGTGGATTGTGAGCTTTTTCCTGTATGTTACAGCAGCAGAGCGTATTATTATACATGTACAACTTATTATTAAATTTAAAAAGCTGTAGAAGTACCTACCTATAATCTTCTAGAATTTTCTCTCGATCTGTCATAGATCTATGCGAAGAGGCATGATGAGAACTGCTAGAAGGTTCTCGACTTCTGCTGGAAGAGTGTCTATGCATATCCTCATATTTATCTCTCCTAGACTCTGGCTGACGACTATGGGACCTGTCCCTTTCTGAGCTATAATATCTACTTCGGCTATAATGTCTTCTATTTTCATAGTCTCTCTCTTCTTCATATCTTCTCCGAGCATGCCTATCTTCTCTATCCCTACCTGAACTTCTACTATATTGACTACTACAGCTTGGACTACGTGACCTGCTCCGTCTTGATCTACTTCTATGTTCCCTTTTTTCTCTATCATAGGCAATCTCTCTTCTTGGACTATGTGCTCTATATGAACTTACACTTTCCCCCGATGACCAATGCTGATTCTCATTCCTAGTTGTACGAGCTTTATAATCTGAGCTTTTTGGTGGTTTTAAGTCTGAATTTTGATTAGGTTTACTCCAAGATTGAGGGCAGTAAGTTTGAGGGCTTGAAGAATTATAATAGTAATTATTATCTCTATTGTAATTAGGTTTTGGTGGAGGTTGAGAGGGTTGAAAGGGCGGAACAAATGAGTGGGGTATATTGGAAACTGGAGGTGGTGGAACATTCAGAGGCGGGAAACGATCAGTGGGATAATATGGCTGTTGAGGTCTAGCCGGTAAGGGCGGCGGAGGTCGAGCTGGTAAAGGCGGTGGTGGATAGCTAAATATTGGCGGTCTTGCTACTGTATTTGAAACCGGTGTTTGTAAAGCTGCAATAGAAGGTGGCGGCACATTCATTGGCGGTGGAACAGCAAAATTTATTGGCGGTATCGACATTTTGAATATATTGTGTTATTGTGGAGCAATTTTTTTCATTATACATGAATATTGATAAACATTTTTAACCTTTACTTAAATACGCGACAAATATCATGTGACTAGAGGGAAGCAACAACGTTAGGATCTTGTCTTATTTAACAACTTATTATTCTTAAATTCAATTACAAAATACAAATTTTTAATCAAACTTGTTGATTAGGTTTGACAATTCAACATTTTTGACAAATCAAAAACTTGTCAATATCCCATCCATATATTACAATTAATGATAATAAAAGTATGATTACATATCCATTTTTTTACTAAATACATAATTTTAAAAGGATCTCTTCATTTATCAACAAGTATTATCAATTATAATTGTTAAGTCTTAATGTATTATGCTCTATGTTTACCATTATTCTCAAACGTAAAAAGATAATTGCTATAGCAGTCTGTATTTAAAAAATTAATAAGTCTGTAATCTGTACTCTGTGGCAAAAAGTTTTGTGTGTTAGTATTTGTTTGTTATACAAAAATTTCTAATTCTATGTATCCTGTAGATGCTTATCCTATATCATTATAACTATTGAGACACCCTGAGCATTATGTCGGAGACCACAGAGAAAGTTGAAAGCAATTGCGATGCTCGTAGAAGAATTCTAAATATTTCTGTATCAACAGTACTTCTAGAAAGTGGATTTCAAAGTGCTGATAGAATGAGCTTGGAGACTTTAACAGAAATGTTGCAGTCCTGTAAGTATCCCAATTTTGGCATTCTTGCGACCAATGTATATGAAAAATATAAACCCTTTTATTTTTAGTTCTCACAGAGGTCGGCAACTCAGCCAGAATATATTGTGAACATTCAGGTCGAGTGGAACCAGTATTATCAGATGTTGTCTTGGCATTAATAAACATGGGTAAGTACATACCTGTTTTAACATATAGTGGAAAAATATGCAGTTGTTTTAAAGGCTATATAATTATAGGTATTAGTCTTCAAGGCTTAGAACAATATGCAGCGAGGCCCAATAGACATGTGATCCAATCTCCCCAGCAAGCACCAGTGCCACGGACACCAGCAATGTTGTCAGCTGGATCAAAGGCAAAACCCTCTCCTCATATTCCATGTCATTTGCCATCACTCCCAGACCCGCATGCCTATATAAGAACTCCAGTAAGTAGAATGCTAAAAGTATATTGTTTATAATGTTGGGCATACTTTCTTTGTTGCTTGAAAAAACTTTACAAAAAAAATGTGAAACACTCTGGTTATTTGAAAATTGTTTAAAATTTAAGCTAACAAAAATGTGCTGTGAGTTGTTGTTTTATTTAAAATTACTTTTAAAGGGATATAAGTGATTCCAATAGAAGTTTTCAAGTCTAGATGTTTGATGATTTTTATTGAAATAATAATACTTTACAGACTCACAAGCAACCAGTTACAGAATATGAAGCAATACGTGAGAAGGCTGCTAATCAGAAAAGAGATATAGAGAAAGCTTTAACAAAATTTCTTGCAAAGACAAGCGAAACACATAACCTTTTTAATACAGAGGATAACCAAGTTTTTCCATGTATGTTCTTTTTATATTAAAAAAGGATACATATTTGTTAACAATTAATACATACCCTCAGTTGGTTAAATCCACATTATTCATTTAAAATGCAAAATATAATGAGTTAATATTTTGAAGTAGCTTTTGTCATGTGGTTATTGAAATATTTACCTTAGTTAATCATTCTTACATGTCTCAATTGGCATTTACAGTAAATTACGGAAAATATTTTCACTTTAATATTATGTATTGTATATTTTTAAGTAATTGCCTGCAAGCCTACATTTCCGGCATATCTGCCGTGCTTACTACCAACGGACCAGGTGTTTGATTTTGATGAATTAGAATATCACTTCCAAGTAGCCAATAGGACAGAAGATATGCCTGCTGATAAAAAAGGTAAATTTGGCACATTTGTTTAGAAGAGTTTTTTTATTAGTTTAGTATAAAACATTATGCTCATGTATTTATTATGTTACAAAGAATTATTAAGCAAATAGGGTAGATACACTCCAGTATCTCTTCTATTGATCAGAGTGTTTGAACAAGTCATATTGTTTGGCAATACAACACTTAAGGCTTGGATTTTTTTTATAGATCAATCAGACAATGAAGGAGAAAATGGTGGTGATAATGAAAATGCAAATAACTCTCAATCAGAGAATCTCGATAACACAGCCGCTTCAAGTCCAGATAGAAACAAATCTGGGGGTTAGATCATCGCATCACCTAAAAAAGTAATTTTAAGATAGATAGTTTATATTTTTATTACATGATAAAAGAGATTAAAATGTACCCTGTTTTTAATACCTACTGACCTATTTATATAAAATTTGGTTTTATTTAGAGAAGTGTGCAGTATGGAAATTTTTTTGGGCCAACTTAAATACCACAGTGTTTTAACTTCATAAACACAGTATCTACAAATCTTAATATTGCACAACATTCTTATTTACTTGCCAACAACAATCATATAAATATTAAATAATTAAATAACAAAGTATTCAAATTTTAAGTTTATTCTTAGAAAATTATTGTAAAGATTTTGAGTTAAGAACAGGCAAAGCTCTGACACCATCCTTATTGACGACTGTGACCTGGAAGTTTGGTAAGCTGACAAACAGACGTCTGTGGACCTCTTGAACACATAATTTTAATATGTCATATGCTTCTTGTTCTGTTAAATCTGAAAAGTAAATGAAAAGACTATTGTCATGGTTTAATGGTTAAACATTCTTAATGTTTAGATCTATTACAGTACAAGTTGGGCTAGATCAATTTGCTTGGAAATAAAACCTTTAAATGATTACCTTTCTTATATTGACGGTCCATGATACTCAAACTGAGGAAACCTCCAAAACCATGGGCTGCAAATGGTACTTTTATACTAGATGCCAAATAGTCCATAAAGTATAACTCAGGACCATTCTCCTTATCATATCCACCCATTAATATGTTCACAAAGTATGGTGTCTGTAAAAAGATTTATGGAACATGTAATTATCTTGCATTAATCATTGAGCAGCGTTCTTTTCTTGTAAGATAGGTTAACTAAAAATTATCTTACACTGCTTCTGAGGTATTCAGCCAAATTTCTACGCGTAAAATTAGCCGCTGCAGAAGGACCTAATTCATAACTGTTGCGCATTTTGTACAACTGAATATTTTTTGCAATATATTCCGCAAATTGGTTGGTGTCACCAGAATCCCCAATTATACCCATAGCAAGTTTATCCGATATTTTGTAGATCTTGTCTTCATCTATAAAAAAATGTAGAGTGAGTACATTTAAGATTCTCATAAGTTTCCAAAATTACTAAGAATGTGCAACTCACCATCCTTCATGACCATAATACTGTGGCTATTTGTCTGATCGGCAGCAATCATTACGAAATCCTTGCCTTGAATCCCCAGAAGGCATTGCAGTTGAATGTTCGACATATTTTTAGATATTGTTTAAGCTCTATAATAAGCCGCAAAATTCCAAACAATCGAAATCGTCCGATAACTAAAAAGCAAGGCTCAAGTGTCAAATAGATACAATAGTCAACAACCAAAAATGTCAAGTCATTTTATCGTTACATAGATTGTAAATTTAAAATTATTTTCACAGGTTATCCTTAAGAATCCCACGTATAACTAGAATATAAAAAAAAACTTCACGCGTAGTGATGCCTACTTTAGGAAGGGAAGTAAATAATCTATGGTCCGACCCATTGTTGACTAAACCAGTGTGCATCTATGGATTCATGGATTTTCAAATATTTTATGTTTTTAATTTTTATTCATTAAATAAAATTTGCCAATGAATAATGTTTCGAAAAATTGCTGTTGGGATGTCGGGCGGAGTAGACAGCGCCGTGGCTGCATACCTCCTTAAAAGAGCTAGTATGTATTATTATAACAAGTTAAAATATATATTTTTAGATTCAGCATAACCAATAAATGTTTCTTTCAGATTACCAAGTCGAAGGAGTTTTTATGAGAAACTGGGATAGTAACTATGAAGCTGGTTTTTGTTCAGACGAAAAAGATTTCGAAGACGCGTCATTCGTTTGCCGTAAGCTTAATATTCCACTTCACAGAGTACATTTCATAAAGGAATATTGGAACGAAGTTTTCACCGTTCTGCTGAAAGAATACGAATCAGGATTGACTCCTAATCCAGATATACTGTGCAATAGATATATTAAATTTGATAGCTTTTATGAACATTGCAGGAACAATTTAGCGGTTGATGCCATAGCAACTGGTCATTATGCTAATACATCTTTCGGACCTTACTTAGAATCTTATAGGGATGATGAAAGTAAGAACATCTATAATTTTAAAAAGCCTTTTGAGACATATGGAAATAAGAATTAGTAAAATATACATTCTGAAAATTTATTCACAACATCCAAGTCTTAAGCATGGCCATAATATTTATTTTAAGGTGTAAGACTACTTCAACCAATTGACAAACATAAGGACCAAACTTTCTTTTTGTCCCAAGTAAAGCAGTTTTCTCTTAGACGATGTATGTTTCCATTAGCAACTTACCTTAAAAGTGAAGTAAGAGAATTGGCAAGAAAAGAAGGCTTATTAAATGTTGCTAGTAAAAGGGACAGTACTGGAATTTGCTTTATTGGCAAAAAGAGGTTTAAAAATTTTATTCAAGAGGTTAGTTACTATCCCTTTAAGTAATACCAATATAAAAAAAATGGCAAAAGTGTATAGGTATATTTATTTATGGATTTATTCTCTTAATTAATTTACTTTACAGTTTATTCCTGAGAAAAATGGACATTTTGTTGATATAGACACAGGGCAGACAGTGGGAGAACACAGTGGTATACACAAATGGACAGTTGGTCAACGATGTGGTCTACAAAGTTATAAAGATGCATACTTTGTTTTTAAAAAAGATTTAGAGACTAATACTATTTATGTAGTAAGTATTACAAATTACAAATAGAACATTTATGGATAAATTATTAAATGGCACAGTAGTTTAACATATTAACACATTACATGTGCCAGGTCCTGGTTTTTAATGACATGGAAACGATAGTTTTAGTCTGACAGGGTACAGAATTCTGTTTAGTAAAACAGACCCACAGAACCATGGCCCACACAAACAATATAGGACTTCACTTAATAGAATTCTAGTGCATTATTTATTTTCCAGGTTTCAGGCACTAAACACCCTTCTTTATGGAATAATCTATGTTTTACCAAAAGACCACATTGGATTAATAAAGAACCCACAAGCTTAACTAGAAATGACATACTTAATTGCCAATTTAGATTTCAACATACTAAACCACTAGTTTCTTGTAGAGTTGTCAATAATTATGATGGTTTAACAATTATGTTAGACCAAAATCTAAGAGCATTGACAGAAGGTCAATATGGTGCATTATATAATGGAGAAGAATGCCTGGGTAGTGCCAAGATCAAAGCAATACATAAAAATTTGGTTTATTAATTTATGTATGATTTGAAATTACAATCGATTTGTTGTCTTTTTAACATGTTTTATTTCCACCATGCAAATTCTAATGTCTTAAAAGATTTGAGGGCTTTTAATTTTTAAAATTGTATATAAATACCTTATTTTTTTAGTCTCACATTTATTTGTTTATACTCTGTGACTATACGTAATCTGTAAGTTATTTGACAGTTACTTGCTCAGTGTTTGACGATTGACAAACTACAAAGATATCCCATCGAACAATATCAATGTCTGACTCTGCGACATATATTACTAATCAAAGCCAAGAGTTTACTGTGTAATTGATGGGTTCATGTAACAAATTGATGTTATTTTTATCTGAAATATATTTATAAGTCTAATTAAAACAATAAATAAAGCATAATTCCTGTAACGGTATTGTTAAACACATAGAAATACTAAATAAATTGTCTTTTAGTTTTATTATTGCGTTAATCTACTTGAACCAATACACGTAAGTTACTTTCACTCTTTAGTAGAAATAGAAAAGACCATTCTATTATTTAGTACATACATATTAATTTTCAGGCTAGGCTAGTTTTGATCATGGTGAAAGTATACGGTCTAGGGGTTTTGTATAAAGGAGTGACCAGCGCCACAATATTAAAGGCTGCATATGACCTACAGAGTTTTAGCTTCTTTCAAAGATCTTCTGTGCAAGAGTTCATGACATTTGTGAGTAAAACCATTGTAGAGAGAACACAAATAGCTTCAAGACAATCAGTAAAGGAAGGGGAATATATGGTACAAGTGTATGTTAGAGCTGATAATTTAGCAGGAGTTTTGATATCTGACCATGAATACCCAAATAGAGTAGCCCACACCTTAATTACAAAGATGTTGGATGACTTCTCAGCAAAAGTACCTGCAAATAGTTGGCCCACTGCAAACGAAACCACTGTTGATTTTCCAGTATTACCTCAGTATTTAGCAAAATATCAAAATCCACAAGAAGCAGATGCCCTAACAAAGATCCAGAATGATTTGGATGAGACTAAAATAATTCTTCATGATACTATCAAAGCAGTTTTAGAGAGGGGTGAAAAGCTTGATGACTTAGTTGAGAAATCTAACAGTCTTTCTATGCACAGTAAAGCATTCTATAAGACTGCGCGGAAGACAAATAGTTGTTGTAACTTTTGAGGCATTTATTGGTATAGCTGAATATATGTTTATTGTTGTTTATATGCCTAACCCAGTATGATTATTGTTGTTCTATGTAATGTGTTTGTAATATGTATTAGATGATGTTTGACGTGATAATACTGAAGTTATTCTTGTAGATTAAGGTCTTATATTTGTGTAAAATATTACTTTAGATTTATGTAAAGCTTTCAGCTTAACCCATTCAGAAGTAGACCAAATGGATTTGAAATTACAACATTTATTATATCTTTAATGGAGGCATAGTGGTATTTCCATGTAAAAACTATTTAATTTGCAATATACCATATGATGAAAGATTTTACTAAGACAATGCATTATTCACAGACAAGGGAAATATTATATTTAGTTCACCAGGTTCACAACTATCACAGACACATACTTTATTATATACATTATAGATATCTTTTATTGTCTGTTTATAGTCAATACTATAATTGATAGGAAAGCAATAAATAATAATAATATTAGCCACTTCTTAAATGAGCTATCGGACAATAACTTTTTAATAATGTACACATACCTGATTTTTTAAGTTTCATGAAGTAGTTTATTGGAGAAGGTAAGAATTTTTATTGAACTATTCCCATTGCTAAGGCAATTGCTGCTGGTATTTTTTTTAAGAAGGGCTGCATTATTTACCAATTCTCATTTACATGACTCATTCCATATTATGAGTTATATATTTTAATAAATTTAATTTTAATTTCAAATTGGTTTTTCTTTAATATTAACCCATTATTATTAGTATCATAAACCTAAAGATCTGAAAGGAGTGAAGCTTTCTTAGAAAAGGCTGTAAGTTAAACCCGGAACCCTATGGGGTCAAAGTACCCTGGGAGTGGGAGGGGGGAGTTGCCAAACTTCCACCAGGCAGCGGATAGGAGAATGGTCATCATGCTAATGACGATTATCGGAAACCCTACAGGAGGAATAATGGTGAGGGCGTTTTCGCCCGTTTTAGTATATAGCGGCCTTTACGGCAGCCGCTTGAGCAGACGTTAGACATGTCAGCTTAACACTGAGCTGTACCCAGGGAGGCATTTTCCGATGGTAAAAAGGCTACAAGATAAACTCAGTTTCAAATAAAAATACATATATTAATTTTACATCAATATTAAATTACAGCCAACGTAACTATGTAGGTTACAATAATAAAAATATACCTATATAATTTCCATTGAAACAAATAAATAATAAAAACAAGGTATTCTCCTTATCAATTAATACACCTAATTCTAAAAATTATCATTGACTATAGAGGGTTGCAACTGCTGAATACCAGGTAACATTTAAAACAATCCACCTACAAGCAACGGAGAGCTCACTTATAGTATTATTATGGAATTTCATCATTCTATAATTAACTAATAACGAGTAATAAGAATGTGTATATGCCGTCTACGTTTCTACTGTAATTTTTGTTTTGTCCCCCGAGGGCTCTTCATCTAGTTTTAGCTATATCATGTTCATGTACCAGCATATACACATACCATTGTATTAATAGCCTAAATTAAAAGGAGATTGGTATAGTATTGTTATAGAATAAGAGTTTGCATCTAAATTTTTGGCATCAAGCAAAGAATAAGAAGTAATAGAAAACTTAAGCTTTGGAATAGACATCAATGAGATTATAAAGGCTGACTTATTTCAAGAAAAAGTCAATAAAATCGATACTGAAGTAAGACAATCTCATTGAATAGAACAAACGAATATATACAAAAATAATAGAAAACCGAAGGATAGGCAACAACCCGATTGAGGGAAATATCGCCATTATAAGCAACACATAAATGCCCTTAGTGATCTGATACTGATAACATTAAATATTCCATCTCAATCTACTTACAAATCACGAATCAAATACACAAAATACAACGCAGCGCAATAATGATTAGAATTTTAAAATCCAACAATTTACTGGTAATTTAGTTTAAGGACGTCCGCTCAACCAACCAACCATTCTCGTCTCATCTGTTGAAAGGTGATTTACCAACTCACGCTATAACCCCCTCCCTCCCACACCACTCGGGTGAATCTGCGATGACCTAAGGAAAGTTGCAATAACAAGATTATAAATGATGTAAGGTAGAATAACTACGAAGTCAAATTGAGATTTAATTTATAGGAGCGCACTCCTCAAACTTATTGGTTGGACATCGTGCATAGATATCGAAATTTTATTAACTCCCTAGTTTCTTTACAATCTGATTAAGGACTGATTAAATCATTCGCTTATATGTTCAGCTTGTAATTAATTCCCACCATCACTTCCATACCTTTCATGATCAATAACGTTAGTATATGAAGCATACAATATAAAGTATTACAACTTTTTGACATGATTCTTCTGCTTAGACCGGTTGGCTGTTTGAACGGTCCCTCGGGAAATACCAAATGTTGGTTTTCGCGTAATCTCAAACGTCAAGTTCCATCTTGTTTTCAGTTTAAGTTACGCTGTCTATGAAAAGAGATAATCCAATACAATATATCTCTTTTTACATTACACATGGTTTGTATATTTCTAAACTCTAATTTTATCTTTAAAATATGTTACAATGTTCCCATTTGTTAATTTTTACAATAAATTATGTATATTACGCTCACTGATTTGTAAACCAATCGATATAAATTGATTTCGATACAAACTGATAAAAATCCGTTTCTGTAAAATGACTTTTGCAAAATCAGTCTTTATTGATGTTCAAAGTAAAATTTCCTCAAGTGCCGTCGTCACGTATATTGATTTGAGGAATGTTCAAATCAATTCCCTTCAACTGATGTGAAAAGTTCATATAACAAAATACGAAAAATATCTACTTTTAAAAAAATGTTTGAAATAATTCCACTATAAAAAACAAATAAAAATCGTTTTTTACACACGTAACACACAGAAATAATAAAGTCTGTAATACTAAACCGAGATTGGATACTGAAACGCTATTAAATCCAGATTTAATTCATAAGTAATAAGACTAAGACGTAAGTTAATTTTGTTTAGCCACTCCGTTGAAACGTTTCAGTATACGACCAGCTTTTCAAATGTGATGTTTCAATCACTAGTTTTATTTATCTTATAACATCTAGTCGCTACACATAATGACATACAGATTTCAAATAGAAGCAATCTAAACCGATAATTATGGAATAAAGCTGAGGTATTGTGGGGTCCATCGCTAAAGGAATTCGCGTTAAAAGAGTTCTCATCTATTTAATACGTTACGCCTAAAATACATAAAATTACTTTATCTTAATTTTTGTGCGAATATCCGAAATGTTTGGACGTTCTAAATGATTCGGAGAACATCAGTACGATCGAAACGTACGATGGATTGTCACATGGAAATTAAACCCTTGTTAGAAATAGTGAAATATAAATTAAATGCTTCACTGTAGTACTTAAATTAAGAAGATTTCACGCAAACCACGATAATATATCTATCACATATTCAATCTACGGAAGTAAGAAATTGGGCACAGTCATTTCGTAAGCGAAAGGTTTTCTATACACAATAATTATGCGTCCATGGTCACTTACGGCTACTTATTTTTTTTATAAAAGGCATCTTTTATCAACATTATTATCGACCAATGAAATATTAGCAAATCAATTACAAATTCTACGACATTAAAAGCAACGAAACGTAACCGCACGATCGATAACACGCGCTACAAAATCTGAAAAGTTTGTACTGATATTGGGGGTCGCCCCGATCTCGAGAGATGAAAATGGAATCCGGATGGTTCGAGGAACCCTTCATTTGTTGGGTACGTGGATCTTCTTGGTTCTGAAGTCGTACACCTTCCGGCAGAAGAGAACTAGTTCTGGGGACACGGATGGCGGCAGCTTGGTGTCGGTGGGGGCTATCGCCGGGGTCACCTCGTTAGCTGGGAACGGCGGGACGATAGATGGCGCTATCGTTATGCCCTCTTCTGCAGCTTTTAGCCGCTTCCGGTATCTGGAATTTGACATTTGGTGTAAGTTATCTGACTCGTGGGATAGGAAATCAATTGGAGTATTAATTTTAATTTAAATACGAGAGAGCATACTTGTAGGTTAAGTAACATAATGACACTACATATTTTTAATATAATATGGAATGTGGCTAGAAAGGTTCAAAGCATATTTATAAAATTTTATTCAAAACCCTGCCAAAAATTTAGGTTTGTTAGATTGTTTTTGAAAACAGATCTAATACATTCCATATATTATAGAATATTTAATATAGTAGTCTCTATATACATAAAAACATTAAAGAAGTTATAAAAACTTTTTTTTTCATGTTATTGCTCATGATGAACTATCTCTCTTTCAAAAATAAAATCGTACAGAGGCTAGTATCCTTGCACACCAAGTATCCGCCGACACATGTTTCATGCTAGGCTACGGATAGGAACCTACATTAATTATCTTCATAAAATAGGTTTTACACAAAATTAAAACCTATGTTTTGATATACATAGACCCTAAACTAAACAACTTCCAGCCAGTTCCTATTTTTGTTTTATTAAGATTTTTCTATATAAATTAAAAATCGATTTTAGATTAAACTTTATTTGAGCATGTATATTATTATTGAATATATTATACATTATAGATTACGTGTAGGACACGATAGCTTAATTGGTTAGAGCAACGGACGCTGTGGATGCCGGGTCAAGTCCTGCCCGTGAAATATTTTTTTTTATAAGAAAGTATTTTTAGACTCATCAAAGTGTTAGTGGTTTCAAATCATCAACTATTACAAAGATATTCGTCTCAAACTCACCGACAGTACTCGTTGAAGGTGAGTACGTAGCATTTGTCTTCGATGCAGGCAACAGAATTGGCGTCCCTGTGTCTTGAAGCGAAGACCTCGTCCGGTGCATCCGTCGGCAGTCGGCCACGGTCCGTGTGCTCCGGCCGGTAGTACCACACCAGCGACACCATCATTTCCCCTGAGAGATAAAATTAACTCATTTAATTTGTTATCTATACTAATGTTATAAAGCTGAAGAGGTTGTTTGGATGAACGCGCTGATCTCATGAACTACTGGTTCAAATTGAAAAATTATATTTGTATTGCTTGGAACATTTATCGAGAAAGGCTATAACACATTATATTAATACACCAATATTAGAAAATAATAATGTTTATTTTAATAAAATCAATGTACCGTCATCGGGGTTCTCCCATAGACTAGCGACTCTAGCGACGAAGGGCTGCGCCCGCGCCTGTGAGGCCCGCAGTAGCACACAGTCGCCGCGCGCCACGCGGTCTCCGCTAGCGTGCGTCATGCGCGACCAGCATCGCGCCGTTCGGTCTAGCCGTGAGTCGTTCTGTTCATCATGAGAATATCGTTCATAATGAGAAATGCAAAGCACGAAAACACAAGCTCAGTACAATTAAAACAATTCCTAGGTTTTAAGCAAAGTTTTTGAATACGGAAAGAGTCACGTCAAAGTTCCCTCTTCGAAAACAACATATCGGAAAATGTTAGTTATTTTTTTGGTTTGGTTTTGCTTTTTGTGCATTTTAAATTTTTTTTACTATCTATAAAATCTAAAAAGATAAAAAAATTGTAAAAAAAAAGGGAAAGTTGATGAGAATGTTTCTGCCACATTTTTTTCGTACTTGATTAAGTTGATTGCAAAAATAATTGTAACTTACATTGAGGTAGACTTTCGAGCAGTAATAATCTCCATCCCAGTTCCAACCATTGCTCCACCTAGGGGGTGGTCTCGGCTTCAGTTCGGGCGGGGCGATGGGCGTGGCCACCCTGCGCACGCGCCGCCCACCGCTTCTTCTCCTTCTGGCCCGTCCCTTAAGACCGGGCACCGGCGATGAACATGCGTCTTCTATCACCAACGCAGCCTCATCAGTTTTAATCACAGTCTTCTTAGACACTAATAACTTGGCAACTTTTTCCACACCCTTCCCTTTTATTTCACTAGACGTTAATTTACACCGCTTTGTCTTGTCTGCATTCTTGTCCGTCATATCCACCATATCAATATCTTTTTCGGTAGCTTCTGCAGCATCCAGTTTCGCTTGTCGCTTCGATACCAGTAATTTAACTACTTTTTCTACTGTTTTTCGTTTGAGATCTCCATTTGTATCGATTGACGTATTGCAAATTTCTGACACCATCTTGTCCAATTTATCGTTCTCCTCTAGGGGACCTTCCATTGATAACTCATGATTTTCCCTTTTTATGTTTTGAGATTCACAACTGCTATCACATATAAATTTCTTTATTTCAGTGTCCGATATTGCTGTATTGACTTTACACTTTTGCGATTTTATTGCTTTGATGGTTTTGGTATAATTTTCACATTTAACTTTGCTAGTGGGCACAATTTCACTTTTAACTTTTGTTAATCCACAATTGTCTTTGTTAACACTAGAAGTTTTACAAATTTCACTTTCAATATCCACACATTTGTCGATACTAGCAAGCGCCCGATTCTTTTTATCTTCCTTACATTTATGTAGCGCATCGTTTTGGTCATTACTGTTTAATACTGATTTGATGTTATGCGTTATTTGGGAATCAATTTTTTCTAGCTTATACGAATTTTTGTGAGCTAATTTTTTCTCAATTAGTTGACTAACAGCGGCAATAGTTTCAGGCGTCACCCCGCTTATAGTCGAGTTGCTATCAACAACGTTGTTATTGATGTTGAGAGTCTTCTTTGCGCTGTTTGCATTTGTAGTAGGCAAGAACAAAGATGCAGGATTCAATTCACTTTCTGGCATATAACCTTTGACATCAGTTCTTTCTATGCAGTTTTTCTTTATAAGATTATCTAATACTTCTGCACTGTTGGTCTTCTGCGTTATATGAGAAGTATCTTCTTGCAATGTTTTATTATTGAACGCAGCGACATTTTGTAGCCTTGGGTCATTGGCCGACTCGCTTCCGAAAAGCATTTTTTTAGCCTTTGTCTCAGTACTGACGGAATCAGATTTTCGTTTATAAGTTTTCTTTTCGGAAGGTGTTTTAGATGTCTTTTTACTTTGGATGCTTCTCTTTTTTGTTTCCTTCGTGACCATCTCTATCCTTGGTGGTTCAATTTGATCGCCCGAAACTTTACGCCGTTTCTGTAACTTTACGTGCTCACCAATGCCGTTAGTTTTACACACGTCCTCGAGTTGCACATCTTTCATTTCAATTTCAAGTTTTGATTTGGAATATCTCCGTTTAACTGGTTTAGCCGAATCCGTTAACGCGGTGGTATCTGATCCTGTCGAGTTATGTTCTCTGAGAGCTTGTGCTTCGGTTTTTCTTAAGGACGCATAAGTAGGACCTTCATTTTCTTTTTTGACGTCAACGAGCGGAGTTGACCTTTCATCTGATGATGAGAGATCAATTGGAGCACATATAGGAGGAGATATGGCAAGAACGTCATCGTCAATTTCCTGCTGGGTGGATGTCGGTTGTGATGTAGATAAGAGTAATGTGGTGTCGTCTCCTGCTAGAGATCGCCTAGCCATTTCTTTTCCCAGACGAGCTCTTCTGGGGGCGATCGGTGGTGGTTGTGGTGCACATATGCCCGCCGATCCTCTGGCCGGTGACGGCGGTCCTAGCGCTTCCGGTCCGGGTATGTCACCGTTAATTCTTAAGCTGTCACGAACGTCGTAAAGTTCGCGTTTAGGGGATGCCCCACCCATGGCAGGAAGCGGACACGGGTGGGGCGCGTCAGCTGCTGTGGGCGGTTCAGGAGGCTCCGGTTCTAATGGAGGATCCTGAAAAAAGAAAGTATTTTTTAATATATTGCTGATAATGTGTAATAATTGAAAACAGGTACAGATGATAAATTAATAATAAATAATTAGTAAGCCAATGATGGTATGTAAATAAAACTGCAAAGCATTACAATTAACAATGTTATTAGGTTTTTAGAGACTGAAAAAATGGTGACAGAAATAAATTTGAATTGTAAAAAAAACTAAAAGTTCAACGTTAAAAGCAAATATATTTTTTTTGGGAAAAATTTGGGAAATAAATTATAAGAACCTACCTTCCCACTTCCGTGCGTGTCCGCAGCGGAGTCGAGTGCGCACGCCCGCACCTTCGGTCGGAAGGCGCCCCCGGGCGGCGCTAGAGCCGTTTGAACGTCCCCTGGGCCGCCACCGGTCGGGGCCTTACCAGTAGCGGGCCCAATAAGGACGTTTTTTGGACACGCGTTTAAGGGGCACGGGCATCCTCGATACTCTGCAACATTAATTTGCTTTTACAACATATGAAATATCTAATATTATTTTGTTTATAGCTTATCAATATATGTATTTTGTACTTGTTTCTTTTGTGGGTACCGACATCGCGTGCCTTTGGAGCTTTGAAGTGAAAGTTTTAACTTCGAAAAGGTACAAGATATAATAAAACGTCGCCAAGTGAAAGTATACAATTTACCTATATATTCTTAAATAGTATAAAAACGATCCCTATTTTAAATTAGCGTAAATATCTCACTCACCGACATATGGTATTCTCTGTGGTGAATGTTGGTAACACGGCGGAGTTCCGTAGTATTGCGGTGGCGGATACGGTTCGCTGCCAACACCGACCATCTGAAATTGAGCGTATTTTAATTTAATATTCGCTTAATATGATACGAAAAAGCAACAAAAGGAAATATCATGAATTAATATTCGAGACACTTTTAGAAAAGTGTCAAGATAATTATGTAGTAGCTAAAATATTTCCCGCGACAAAGCAGAAGTTTGCGTACAAAATTAGAACGGAAAAGTGAGCTTTCTTAAAAAAATAAAATATCCATCGTTGCGATTTCATATAAAGATACAATGCAATAATAAGTATCGATAAAATTAATTCAATGTAATTTCTGATATAGACGCGTGCGCCCCTTAACACAACACACGCTTGAAGTGGGCGTGTACGAACATAGGGGGCGTGGCCTTCGACAACCAGACTCTCCGCTTGCAATAACGCTCGTTTGGTCTCAGACATTCAATGAACAACTTTCTCAGCTACAAAACTAGTCTTGGTTTATAATTAGTGCTGTAATTGAGCCAATTTAACTACCATTAACCGTACTGTAACCACAGCACAGTGGCTAGAAAATAATGGTTAGCGCTTTAACCGAAGAATTGTTGAACAATCCATTAGATCCATTCTTAAGAACTATGTATGGATTAAGGATGTATCGATTTGACGTTGATGTGCACATCTCTACGTTGCAGTACAATCGCATTAGGTAATTGGTTTTTAATAGTTTAATTTAAATACAATGGCACGTTTTATATAAAGCCATATTAGATCAGTGGTTTTATTGTGAGCAACAGTTATATAACCAGAAACCTTATATGGGAAGCAGCTACAGTGACTAATACAACTGTAGTGTTGTTCTCGTCCTCTAAGATATCTTTGTCGATAATTTCCCATTTCTGGGCACAGGTCGTTTATACGTCTACGGCGTATTAATACACGATTTTTTTTTCAACACACTATTCAACAGCCATTAAGTTAGTATAACAATATCAATTTGAAATTGATATATGTACGAGTAGGGGGCTGAATATCTCTTACCGGTGCTTCGGGTTGTGGTGGTGGTATATGATAGGGTCCAGGGGGCCTGTAGTACCGCCCATAGCACAGGTCCGTGGGATAATAGGGTCCATACTGCTGCAGCACCTGTGCATAAACCGCGTTTTAATTACGATATATTTTTACTAATAGCTTACAATACTCATATTTATAAAGCTGAAGAGATTGTTTGAACGCGTTAGTTTCGGTAACTACTGGTGCGAATTGAAAAATTATTTTTGTGATGCTTAGAGCAGTCGTCTAGTTATCACGACGAATAATGGGAAAGAACGACGGACGGGCAACGGCAATAATTGGTACAGATGAGAATAATGCCCAAAATAACTATTCTACGTGGACGAAGTCGCTGGCACAACTAGTATTATTTATAATGAGAAGCCGAAACATATCATAATCCTTGTTGATCTTTCCTAATAAATGCTCATTTGCGCCATTGGCTTCCTGCTCCATGACTTTCTGAGGTTTTGAAAACTTCGCAAGAAGGCCAAAATGCTAGTGAAAAACATTATAGACGCATTTATATTTACGCGGCTTGTTTTAATATAAAATCTATAATACATAAACGCGTTACTTAGATAATTAGAGATTAGACAATTATCTTTTGTTTGACTAATAATATCGAAAAGCGAAAAATCGTTACTTCTTAAAGTAGTAGTATTTAAACGGTATTCACAGTAGCAGAGATAGTGGGGTCCGATTCAATTAAAATTTTCACTTACAAATAACAGGACGCGGTCGAGTCGGAAATTGTGCAGACGTTTGAAATATTTGCGGATAATTTATTCAAAAATATAGTATTAATGTTAAAAACAATATATTTCTTGTTTAGTCTTTTAAGCAGAACTTGATTTGAAAATGAACCTTGAACAGATTTTTTAATGATAGACCACCAGAAGTTCACTTGGTGGTAGGTATCCCAACCATATAACATCTACACAATATGCGCTGTCGACCTATTTGGACTTTGGATTTTCGGAAAACTTTGGATTTTCGGAAATCCACAGAAACCGAAACACAATTAAACTTGACGGCTTTTTCATCTGTGTGTAGTTACGGAATATATATATATTCCTAACACGCATTTACTATCCAGATTTCGAAAAAGTCCAACCATGTTTCATAAAAATTATAAATCGAAAAATTAAAAGCACGTTGGACCCGGCGAATATTGAACCCACGACCCGTTAACTATTGGCCATACATTGCTACTAATAGACCAAGAAGCCCGTCAAATGTTGCACTTACAGGTGGATGTGGAGCGTGGTAATGCGGCGCTGGATGATATCGCGTCAACGCTCGATCTGCATCTGCGCTGGTCTCCTTGATCAACGGACCCGCAGGCTGGTAGTATCCTGTAGACAAACCCTTTATTACTATCTAACCAATAACTCATTTTAACTTCATCTTTAGTATGAAATATATTTTCGAAGTTACTAAAACTATTATTCAGCTGACCCGGCAAACGTTGTTTTAGAGAATATTTGTGTCTGGTGTTAACGATGAGAATATTTAAAAATGAGAAAATACCAAACATTAATTTATTAATATATTTTATTGACATCGCTAGAGGCCTGGGGGAAATAGCTTACCGAGTGATAATTATTCAGTTATTGACCGGGATGAAATAATAATGTAAAGAGTAAGTGTACAAATTAACTACTAAAATGGCTATTAAAAATAAAGGTTGGTGATAAAATAGTGATAATTTCGGGTTTGTTTTTTTTTTATTTATAATATGGGACATTATAGACAAATGACATTTAAAAAAATGTTAAAGGTTTATTACTTAGCCTTATTACTTAGGGTATGGTAGTAAAAAGACCTTTCATTGCACTCCTGAATCCTAGGTACGCGTTTATTAGACGTAACTGTTAACTATTTTAGTCAAAAGTAAAGTTCTTCTAATTCAGTTTGTTAATGAAAATAGTTTTGTTTATTGAAAGCAAGAAATAAGTAAAGCTCTTATTTATCCCGCAACGCGAGGCGCATTGCACAATTTGTCTATCAATTACGGTTAAGCTGCATTCATAAAACGTTACATTTGTCAAATAAATATCATAGTTCAACATTCTCGACCCATTTATACGCCATAAATTAGCGCCAATCAATCAGTTCGGCATCAATATGTAATAACATGTCAACGCTTAATTTATTTAAAAGCCTGACAAACTCTAAAAGGTTTGTTTCCGTTTCATATCGTTCTTATATTGAGAGCGGGGAGAGTAGTACGCGACGTTATGATGTTTAATATAAGTCGTTCCGGGTTTCAAACGCATATAATATGTTCCTTAACAAATTAGTATTACATATCCTTAACGAATTGTGTAATAAATGATTTAGTAATTATGGGTAGTTTGAACCGTTTTCGGATTGCAACGGAAACCATGAAAGATGAATAATGTATCCCGTACTTTTCATATTTCCCAATATTTTTTCACACTTGAGTTTTAACGCCTAAAATAAATCAACAAGTAATAATTTTTCAATTCAAACCTGTTCAAAAATCTCGGTTTCTTAGAGTAATGCGTCAAACAAATAACGATTCAGCTTGAAAAGATTAGTGTTAATTATTCAAAACAGAAATACGGCCTAAAGCTTACATATATACCGAACTAGGAGACCAGAGCCTTAAGTAAAAACTCTTTAAGATTCAATAAGATGCACTTCACTGTCTGACAGAGGTTTTCCGGCGTCCAGTATAACTTTATCTATTCAATAGAGCAATCTAGTGCTTATCTAGTATCCGTTAGCATTAATGCATGCTAATTGAGCTGGCAACGTCGGCTCGGGCCATCCTACGGATTATAAATATCGCAGTCGCGATATACAAGGGCGATAAAGATAATAATGCTTGTTGCGTTTATATTGAAATCGGCTCTTTATAATATAATTGCAATACGTTTTATTGTACTATTGTGTTCTCGTGTAGTAATAACTTTTAAATAAAACACTTTAACGGTTTAAAACGCGATATATTAGTTAAACTTATTTGGAAAAGATTTTTAACTTCGGCCCGACGTTTCGGATGCTTTGCAGCAGCCATGGTCACGGGGAGACACAGTGTCTCCCCATATACCTATAATCAATAAGTTTAACTAATATATCGCGTTTTAAACAGTTAAAGTGTTTTATTTAAATGTTTACTACTCGCGTAAACTATAGACAGTATTTAAGTAATAACTTTTTGTAAATTGTAAACTTTGTCGAAAGTTGGACAAAGGTGTCATTGACGTGGATGGTTTCATATATCTACAGTATACATATATATAGTCATGTCATAAACATGCAGTTACCAAAAGAATCATCATAGTTACAATTTAGGCTAGGTTGTGTGAAGTTTTTAAACTTAATGTCGCTGTAACAAATTGTGTGTACTGTACTTTAGAAGTATTAAAGAAACAATAAACATGTATGGAATATCCTAATAAAAACACGTCTTTCTACTTAAGTAGGTAGTATATAACGGTCTGTTCTGCATATCATTTTACTTGTATGTATTTCAATTGCTTCTGTTGATTTTCAGTACTTTTTGTATTCAATGTCTGCGATATTGGATTGCTTTCAGAGTTCAGTTGTTCTTTTTTTAATTGAAAGCGTTTTAAAGTACGCTGTGCTAGCTCGTATCTGCTAAAATCATCTACATGATAAAAATACATCATATTTGTGACAAAGTTGGGAAGATTGGGCGAAAAATATATATAATGCGATTTAATACATAATTAAAACGACTGAATAACTTAAGAAAGTTATTTCGCTAATTTGTCGTCATTTTATATGTTATCATGTAATATTTTGACGTAACTCAATTTTTTAAGTGCTCACCCAAAAAAAAAAATTAAACAAAGCAACTCCGTGAATGCAAGAAGAATCGATAAACTTCGAGTTCATTGATCCTAATTTTAAACGGTTTATAACGAAATGTTTTACTATGAAATTGTTGATACTACTGTACTGTTTAAGATTTACGAACTTTATCATTATATTTTGAAGTGTTGGATTAAAAATTATGGGAAACTTAATAATAATGTATGGAAATAAAAGTATTTCTTTAATGTCCTGTAGTAAGTTTTTAAATTATTCATATTGGTTTTAAATTTTTAAAAAAATACTTTTTATAATAATAGATAAGCCAATCTTTGACTTTCCTTTTCGAGCGATTAATAATATAGTATCTTGATTTATTCTTACAAAGCTTTGCGCTATAAAGAATGTACTATGGGACAACATATTTGTAAATGTAGCAAAAAATATGTTCTCTTCGTGTTGAAATATGTGTCGTCAGCCGTTTTGAGGTCGGGAACGGATGTGGTCGCCCACCTCCGTTTGATATGGAACTTTACATTGAAGCGAGCATTTGTTGATAAAGTTCTCTTAGTAGACGTATTAAGATTATTTACTTTTACACATTCCAAAATCAACTTAGATATTTGAAATATACATTCTTCCTTAAATAGAAGTAGTAATTTATATATAATTTCCTTTTTCAAAATGTACATATATTTGTTCTAATATGCTAGCAGTGTAATAAATAAAGAAACAATTAAAGATTATTCTGAAAATCAACAATGTAACGTTGGATACTGTCTATAGTTTACGCGAGTAGTACATATTTAAATAAAACACTTTAACGGTTTAAAACGCGATATATTAGTTAAACTTATTTGAAAATGATTTTTAACTTCGGCCCGACGTTTCGGATGCTTTGCAGCAGCCGTGGTCATTTCAAATAAGTTTAACTAATATGTTGTGTTTGAAACCGTTAAAGTGTTTTATTTAAAAATGTAACGTTGGCTTGGCATTAATAATTATATAGGTAATCTAATCTAATAAAACTATATTAGACTAGTTAAATAATGAATAAATTTTAGTGACATAAAACCTGAACTAAATCGATTTCATCATATTAATAATTTAAAAGCGCATTACAATTGTACAATACTTTTAAATCAATAAATACGTCGGGTTGAATTTTTGCACGAGTAGAGCTTTCACCGTGTTTGCGGTAAACATAATATATTTTGCGGCGTCAATTCGCTTCCGATTTCACAAAATTTTCATTTAATCACTGTCGCTCAAAAGTTTAAAATAATCGCGTGAATTGGGACTGCATTTAATTGAAATATAAATTTAAACGCCTATAATTTTAGATAACGAGACGATTAGTCTCAAAACGCAAATATATTCTATCCGTCTTGTATAGTATTTATAGTATTATAATACTTAGACACTGTCTATAGTTTACGCGAGTAGTACACATTTAAATAAAACACTTTACGGGTTTAAAACGCGATATATTAGTTAAAATCATTTTCCAATCAGTTTAACTAATGTATCGCGTTTTAAACCATTAAAGTGTTTTATCTAAATCTTTCGTGATTTTGTGTAGGTTTACCTATATGGACTGTATTCAAATAAATAATGATCTAACAAAAATTCGAATTTATAACAATAGTATGATAATATCCACTTTGATATTTGCTAGTTCAAACCTAAGTAGATAGCGCTAGTGTGCCACGATACCGTTATTTCTCGTCGAAGTTAGTCGTGCGAGGGCGGAGGGGCGGCAATAACTTGGACTACTGTTCATATTCTTTTGGAATATGTTTAGTAAATTTTGTATATGCCATTATATTTTTAAAGTATTATTGGTTTTTAGATATTAGTAACTATGATCGTTTGTTCTATATATACGATCGATGTTATTAATAAAAACTATAAGTAAAACAGCTGTACGTAAAGTGCTCTTGGTTTTTAAACAAAAATATGAATTACATTAAGATTTATTTCTAGTTTAAAAGTGATTACGCGTTAAATATCACTTCTTTCAGATAAAGCTACCAGCTGAGAGTGGTCGGCTCGGCGAGTCGTTGAGGGGACACGGCTAATTGGCTACACGCAACTTCTCTCGTTTCATCCGATAAAGCGTCTTAAGTATCCGTACGTTTCGAGCTTTACGTCGTGTTTTTTCAATACTCTGTTTTTCTCAGTGTTGCCTACCTTTTGTCGTAGCTTAAGTTAGTCTTCATAAACATTTCACGACCACCTTTCGCGGGAGCCAAAACCGCGAATTTTATTTCCCCCCCTTTTTTTTTTTTTTTTTTCCCAAAAAAATTTTTTTTTTTTTTTTTTTGTTGTTTAGAAATTGAGTTAGTAAGTTATAGTGAGGACAAATATATGCTCATTTTTTTCATGAGCTTTGAATCCAGTACAAAAAATGTTGCCTTAAGTTTTTCGTTTAACCCAAAGCTTTCAAAGTTATATTTATCTTGTTTTTAGTTTTTTATTGTTTAACTAGATCCCACGATGCTTCGATCTATTTAAACTTAACAGTGAAATACTTTGTCCGATCGTA